CTTACTAATTAGGTTACAAAATTATCATGAGTGTTTACAACTCTTGTATAGTTTGACACTAATTAATAAGGGTAATTATCTGATCAAAGTACCTTACACCCTTATTCTAACTGACACTTATCAATAAGGTATACACACCTGACAGCCATTTTATGAAATACATGTATGTACAATGCCCTTTGGCATTTATGTTGTTTAAACTAACATATACCGCTATTGACTTGCCGACCGGGAAAAATAGATCGTTCACAAAACGCTTTAGCTATTAGAAAGTACCCAACATATGCATAAATTTTCGCAGAATTTATTTTCGTGATTTTCGTTTATCCGCCAAAATAAGCGAAAATAACCCGCTATACGGTAGTCACCAAACTTTGAATTATTTAGTGAGAGGACATCATCTATATACTGTAAATTCAGAAATTATTGCGTGCATTTATTATTGTGATTTTCCAAAAAAGGACTAAAATGCGAGTTTAATTATTGCGATTTCAGAAAAATCTACATACAGATCTATGTTTTAGTTATCAAAATGCGAGTTCTTATTATTGCAATACTCACCTAGTCGCATTATTTGCATTAATAAAAACCTCGCAATAATTTCTGAATTTACAGTAGCTAAACATGAAGTTAAAGGATAATGCTAGCTTCTTTCTATTTTTCTTAAGACGCTCCTGTATGAAGTCAGCCTATATGAATAAAGTAAAATGTAGGCAAGAAGAGGAGCACAGTTGGTTCCCATGGGAATACCGATTATTTATTGAAAAACACATCCGCCAAACGTAACAAATATGTTGTCAATCAAGAAATCAAGCATCTTGATAATGTAAGTTTCAGAGAATTTTTGTTTGAATCAGAGTGATTTTTTACAAAGTACAATTAAGACTCCCTAAGACAAGATACTTGTTTCTACATTGGTAATTCTTTTTCAAATTTTTCTTTTAGTTTGGAATGGGGAATACTTGTGTAAAGGGTAGAAAAGTCAAATGTTATACATTTTGTAATACTATTGCAAGAGGAAAGAGACATACATTGTATCTACTCTAACAGATCTTTTAAATTTTTAAGTATCCACATCTGATTCATGCTGCCCCTAGAGTAGGTAGTTTCACAATTACTTTGAAGTCGGCTTTGAATGCTGATAAAATTGATGTTAATCATATAGAAACTTATGTGATTTAGGTATCCAATACAGTGAAGGTTGATGCAGTTCTCATCTTTGGTTGAAATTCCAAACGAACATAAAACAGACCTATGATTATTCAGGATTTCCTCCTTGGTAATTGTTGTGGTGGAATATGTTTCTAAGTGAATTGTCAATACCTAATTCTTTTATCAGGCAGTTTATGTAATGTGATTAACACACAAAAACAATGTTGTTTGGGGCTTTATCTGCGAGGACAACAAATTTGTCAGGGAGGTAGGAGAGGTGCTTAGCAACATTTGGGTCTTTGAAGATCGATGTAGCATGTGTTTTCATAGACCCATTCAGTTTTTTAATTCTAGTTTATATTAACAACCTCACAGCCTTAACCCATTCAAAAATATCTACATCTTCTTTTCTGAACTTAGCCCATTGTCTGGCTTAATCCTCGACTGAATCTGTCAGTATTTTAAAGTTGTGTTTCCAATTGATGGATTTGGGCTCACGATATTTCAGGGCTTTGGATAACACATTTGGCAGAGAAGTGTTAATGACAATGTTCTGGTCGCCAGTAATAACGTGGCCTGCCGGATTATATATGAATGGGGAGCTAGCACATGTGCTATACAGAGGTTTAGACTTGAAGTCATCAATGTTGAGATCCTACAACAAATGTTTGTAATTGAAAATTTTAGTTGCAATTGGTTTAGTATAGGTATAAGAGATGATAGGTACAGACTGATCTTTAAAGCAGGGAGATATTTTCAAGTGAACTAATTTATGACAAAGGATATTGCCAAATGAGATGTTATCGAGACCTTTGTTGTCAAAGGAAAGTTTTAAAAAGAATCTTTTCTCCTTTCATCTTTTCCTATGCGGACTGGTCCGAAAAGTCTGTGACTGGCAATACCCGAGATGATAGCTGTAAGTTTGTATTGGTTTAAATGGGGGTTTTTAACAGTGGTTTCCAAACTTAAGTTGTACAGAGAATAAAGTTTTGAACGGAGTAGTGAGTAAAGCTTTGTGCGAATGTGATGAATACCCAACAGCTTTTGTATAAATGGCAGCAGGTCATTAATAGAGACATCATGGAGAGGTGATGTATTATGACGATGAACATGACCACGTCTACGTCGAGGAGCAGAGTTGAAAATATTCATCACATTCACTGAGCTACAGGTAGGACTACATATAATACCTATACCATCAAGGGTCTTCCAATGTTTTCGGATATATGAGTATTTATATGGTCTTGTATTGCTGATTACTTTTGCTGTTTATAATTTCTATCTATCTATTTTAGTTTTCAAGATAATAGGCAAAAACTTGAAAATAAGTCAAAATAATCATTTCAGGGCAATAACTCCCATAAGGAGTCATCCGATGAATTTGGTTATTTTGGTATGTTTGTAGATCTTGTTTTCCTTTATAATGTTGCTGTTAACAGTTACTACTCATCTTTTATAGTTTTCAAGATAATAGGCAAAAACGCTAAAATTTGTAAAAAAAATCATCATTTAAGTACAATAACTCCCATAATAAATCATCTGATAATTTTGGTGCAAAACAGGAAGTAGGTAGATATTGTCAGATTTTCTCTTTCTATTGTTGTTTTTAGAGATATATATGACAATTAATGCATTTGAAGCATATGTTTTATTTTTAGCCATGGAGGCCATGTTTGTTGATAGACAGGGAAAAAACATAAATTTCATACTGCATACCCTATAAAGGATCATTCACCCCAACTTTGGTTGAAATTTGGTTTAGTAATTTCAAAGGAGAAGATCTTTGAAAATCACAAGTATACAACGAACTAAAAAATCGTCATTGAAGGCTATTACTCCTTAAGTGGTCTTCTAATTACTTAAGTTGTAAAAGCTGTTTTGCAGATCTTTTATTCTGATTATTTTTGCTGTTTACAGTTTCAACCCATCTAATATATTGATTGAGATAATAAAAATAAATTGCTTTGCAGCGCGCAGCTGGATACGACCGCAGAGGTCCAACCCTGAACAGTTAGGGCAAAAATGGACAAAATAATCACGCTTGATACAGGTATGAGTTTGGATTGTAATTAAATATTTGACACAGAATAACTGTAGTCAAAGAACTTAGAATTGGTTATATGATTTGAATTTATATTCAATTTTTTGCTTTTGTGCAATACACTGTGCTGTTGCGAATTGACCCCCCCCCCCTCCCCCCCCAAAAAAAAAAATTTGAAAAATTGTCTCCCCCTTTCTTTTTTACCCCCACCACCACCAATATTTTTTTTTCAGCTCCCACCCCACCTTTTTCCAAAACAAAAAATTCTTTCCCTCGAGATATGGCCATATTCTCCAAAAAAAAAAAATTTGAAAAATTGTCTCCCCCTTTCTTTTTTACCCCCACCACCACCAATATTTTTTTTTCAGCTCCCAACCCACCTTTTTCCAAAACAAAAAATTCTTTCCCTCGAGATATGGCCATAATCTCAATTCAAATTTCCATTGGAGTTTGCAACCACGATTATCCATTTAAATACATCATAAAAGTCTTAAAATAGAAAATGACATACATAATCATGGCTAAAATTAATATTCCTTAATCAGCTTTTTTAAATAGTAACTTCTAAGAATAAATTGAGAGTTAATCACCTCAAGACAATACAACATTTCTTTATACATAATTTAAAAGCAGTGTAAGGGAGGTAATCTAAACATAACATTGTACTTTTTTTTAATTGTCCATTAACCAGGAAATCCTTGTTTTTCCCCCTTTTTTGCCCCTAATTCCTAAACGGTTTGAGCCATAACCCCCCAAAGCCAATCCTAACCATTCTTTTGTGGTATGGAAACTTGTGGTATAATTTCAGAGAGATCCATGCACCGTTCTACAAGTTATTGTCTGGAAACTAGAAAAATGTTTATTTGGGCCTCTTTTTGGCCCCTAATTCCTAAACTGTTAGGACTATAACTCCCAAAATTAATCCCAACCTTCCTTTTGTGGTTATAAACCTGTGTTTAAATTTCATAGATTTCTGTTTTTTTTTACTAAAGTTATTGTCAGGAAACCAAATGTCTTCGGACTACGCTGCCGACGACGACGACATGATACCAATATACAACTGCAAAATTTTTTGCAGTTGTATAAAAACCACTAAAATTAGTAAAAACCAGTCATTTACAGGCAATAACTTCTTAAGGGATCATCCAATGGTTTTGGTGATATTGGCATTTTTGTAAATCTTGTATTGCTAGTCATTTTTGCCTTACTAGTTTTTACCTACACAATATTGTTTATTAGTTAAAAGGCAAAAACATGAGAATTACTCAAAAATTGACGACAATAACTCTTTACAAAGTCATCTAATCATTTTGATGCAAATAGGAAGTATACAGACCTTCATTCTGAGCATTTATGCCCTTGTCTTTCTCTACCTATTATAGTTTTCAAGCTATAAGACGATTAATGCATTTTACCTTATGTTCTATTTCAAACCATGGCAGCCATGTTTGTCGACTGATGGGGGAAAAACACAAAATTGATACTAGATACCCAATTGATCATTCACCAAAAGTTTGGCTGAAATTGGTTCATTAGTTACAGAGGAGATCTTTAAAAAGTTTACACCGACAACAATGGACGACAACGACATACACCAAGTGATGGCAACTGTGCAAGGTGAGCTGAAAAAAAGTTTAAATCAGTATATTCCCAATCCTTTAGCATGGTATTGTATAAAGAACTATATCATGTTAATTTCATTTTCAACTTCAGTAAAGAAATTCCTATCTTTAACTTTTCTGTCAAATCACCTACTTTGTAGTTTGTCTATCTATGTAATTAAAACAGAAGTAAAACAAGATCCCACCTGCAAAGAACCTCTGTAGACACTGTTTTATTTATAAAACCATAGGCAGCCATTGAACAATCTTCAAAGTTGACAATTTCTGGTTTATAAGATGTACAAATATCTGTTACATTCATTGATATACCTGTGGAGTAAAAATATTCAAATTACATAGATGATTGATCGATTGATTTTTGGTGGTTAATGCCACTTTCAGCACTATTGGCTATTTTGTGGCAGCCAGTTTTTATTTGTGGAGGAAGCCAGGGTGCCCTGATGAAAAAGATTTTTTGATATGAAAACTGATAATCCTAGTCAATTAAGATATGAGTTTAACACACATGACAAGTGCAGGGTTCAAACCTAAACCTCAGAGACTAGTGATACAGTAGTTGAATTACTGAGACCACTCAGCCACTGGTCAAAGGTGGAATATATTAAAAATAGTGAGACTAGATATAACACTGAATAAGTAAACATTAAATAACAAAAATGCATTACAAATTGTATCAACAGATCAAATTAACACGAAAGTACGATTTGAGAGTACTCATTAACTACTAAGTTTCATGAAATTTTATTATGTGGATTAAGAGGAGTTGTGATTATAAAGTGTTGCAGTAGTATATTTCCAGCAAAATTCTATGTTCAAAGGGGCATAACTCCTAGAAAAATTTCCTGTTGATATGCACATCTACATATTATGTCTTATCATCTACAAAGTTTCATGAAATTCAGTTGTGTGGTTTCAGAGAAGTTGAGATGACAAATTGTTACAGTAGTGTATTTAAGCCAAAATTCTAAGTTCAAAGGGCATCACGCCTAGAAAAAAAAATGAATCATAATTTCCTGTTGATATGCACATCTACATAGAATGTCCTTATTATCTACAAATTTTCATGAAATTCTGTTGTGTGGTTTCAGAGGAGTTGAGATGACAAACTGTTGCCGTAATATATTTAGACTAAAACTCTATGTCCAAATGGGGCATATCTCCTAGAAAAACAAGAATGTGTTTATAGTACAGGGATGCCCCAATCGCACTATCCTTTTCTATGTTCAGTGGACCATGAAATTTGGGTCAAAACTCTAATTTGGCAATAAAATTAGAAAGATCATATCATAGGGAACATGTGTACTAAGTTTCAAGTTGATTGGACTTCAACTTCCATGAAAAACTGCATTGACCAAAAACTTTAACCTGAAGCAGGACAGACGGATGGACGGCTATACGAACGGACGCAGACCAGAAAACATAATGCCCCTCCTACTATCGTACATGGGGAATAAAAATTGATTCATAATTTCCTTTCGATATGCACATCTACATAGTATGTCCTTAATATCTACAAAGTTTCATGAAATTCTATTGTGTGGTTTCAGAGGAGTGGAGATGACAAGAACAGGACTGACGGACTGACGGACAGACGGACAGACAGACGGATCAAAAACTTTATATCCTTCGTGCCATAGGGTATAATAAACTAGATTAACACATACAACATTCAAGTTGTAAGCTTATAACCATTGCAGGAAATACACTGATAAGTATATAACATTGAAAAGTTTTTCATAAAACAGAAATAAATCTGGTTCCTGGTGTACATTAAATTAATTCTGAAGTCATTTAAAGACACTAAATGTAAATGCAAATAAATGTGGATAGTGTCCACATGTGGACACAGATGATGCTCCCGCTTCCATAGCATATAGTTATAAAGGGACATAACTGAAGAACGGTTAAAGTGACGCTACCCAAATTTGAACTTGATCTGAGTTTTGTGGTAATAAGCATTGTGTGTAAGTCTCATAACATTTGGTTGAGGCTAACTTAAGTAAAGAACAGAAACTAAAAATTCAGCAATTTTTCTATTTGTAAACACGCATAACTCTAGAACAGTTATGTATGAGTTTCATAACATTTGGTTGAGGCAAACTAAAGTTAGAAAACTGAAACAAAAAATTTGTATTTGATCTTAGTTTTGTGGTAATGAATATTGTGTATAGGTTTCATAATGTTTGGTTGGGGCAAACTTAAGTTACAGAATGGAAACTAAAAATTTTGCAATCTTTCGATTTATAAAGGGGCATAACTCAATAATGGTTAAAGTGACACTACCCAAATTCAACTTGATCTGTGTTTTATCAGTGGAAGTCTAAATTAAACATTGCATTGCATAAAGCATTGATTGTAGTTGATTCAACTGTAATTTAATTTTGGATGTAACACAACTTCTGATTGGCTGACGTTGTTTTGTTTATCAGCTCATAGACATGATTTTGTCATGTGACCGTGACGTCATCAACGTTTTTTCAAGGTTTACTCCGGTTTAAAATGGAATTTAGAATTAAATTATAAGAAATGACTGTAATATTTTTTCTGTCTATTCGAAATAACATAAAAAATGTGGTGCACACTTTAAAATAACCCGCTACGCGGGTTATTCAGTGTGCACCACATTTTTGATGTTATTTCTTCATAGACAGAAAAAATATTACAGTCATTCCTTAAATAATCATGGACAAAGGAAGATAACTCTAATTCTAAAAATTACTTGATATTTAGAAGAAAATAAAATTTTTGCAATTTTTCCATTTATAAAGGGGCATAACTCTAGAACGGTTAAAGTGATGCCACCAAAATTCAACCTTGATTTGTGTTCTGTGGTAATAAGCGTTGTGTATGAGTTTCATAATATTTGGATGAGGCAAACTTAAGTTAGAGAATGGAAACTAAAAAATTTGCAATTTTTCCATTTAAAAAGGGGCATAACTCTAAAACGGTTAAAGTGACACCACCAAAATTCAAACTTGATCTGTGTTTTGTGGTAATAAGCATTGTGCATAAGTTTCATAACATTTGGTTGAGGCAAACTCAAGTTAGAGAACGGAAACCAATTTTGGGATGTACGAACGTACAGATAGACAAGGGTAAAACTTAATGACCACACCTCTACGGCGGGGGCATAAAAAATAAACTTACATGATGATAAATCTACTTTTCCTCGAGATAACTTTGTAATAAGATCATTTTCCTCCAAGATGCTCCTCTTTATATTGCGACTAGTGCAATTGAAATTATGTGATAGTTTCTCAAAAATACAGGGTATATAACGGTCTTCAAATGTCCTGTAATGAAAATGTTTTATATTGACTTTAAGCATGATATGGTCATCAGTTTCCAGTTATTTACTGGACTGCTATGTTGAATACTGTTCTAAAGTAATATCTGATATTAAAATATGATATCACTGACAGGATATCTTTAATTAACAGCATGACAATAGGGGGAGTAGGAGGGGGTCTCATCCCGAAATCTTGAGAAAATAAAGCCAAATCCTGAATTCCAGTGAAAATCATGTGTCTATTCCAGGATCACAATATAAATGTAATTGAATCCCGAATTCCTGACGATTTAACTGGCTATTCCAGAATTCCAGAGAATTAAACAGCTCAATCCAGAATTCCCCAAAAAGGTCCTTTCACCCCTCTGACAAAACTAGCAAGCTTACAAAAGTAATGACTGACTCACAATTTGCCTTTTTAATCTCTTCAAAAATTATGTTCAATTATCTCCCCTTCCATGAAATATTTCATTTTTCTATTTGTTGCAACACCATAGTCTTTGAGTTTCAATCAAATCCATTGAGTTTAGTAGGAGTTGCACTAACATTGTCAGGTGTAAAAATAAGTGCAAGTCCAATGATCCATTACATATCACTTTAATATTGTTTGCACAAGTATCAAAAGAGTACATTTATATTAGCTGCAGATTGTGTGGCTGTATAATGCAATAGATACCTGCAGACAGAATCTGATGGTTGAGATATCAAAATTTCACTGATACATTCAGTTCTAGATAAAATAAGCCCTCTTCCATCTTCACATATACTGTGTCCAAAATCTGGACTACTGGTTGAATTACCTATAAAATAAAAAGTGTTGTAATCAAGGATCCGGAAATTTTTTCACACAATTTCAGTCATTTGAGATGACTGAAAAGTTGGTGCCCTTTTTCAAATTCTCGATATCACACTGATTCATCATAGCATCAACGAACATGTATTACTGTTTCATCGCATTTACTTCATGAATTTTCTTACCATTTTTCTAAAAATGTTCAAGAACAGTTTAGGGAAGGCAACAGTTTGAAATTGAAATGACTTTAATGACTCAAAATGGTTAATTTCTCAAACATAGCTAACATTTCTTTCGATTTTGAAGACGAAATTAAAACCGGTTATTTAGATAATACTAAAGTACAAGTAATTCTGGATTCATTTCTGGGATTCGTTTTGTTCATCAAATTGACAGGAAATCACCGGCTTTTTTAATTTTATAACCTTTAAAAGTGTTTGGATATAACAGATAATAGTTGCACTCGTTTAATTTAGAATGAAATCTATGTAAATTAAATTAAGTTTAAATTTTTAAATCAGAATTGATGACTGTCTTTGCTGAAAAGTAATTAAATAATGAATATAGTTGTCATGGAATTTTAATTTCTTTGTGATATTATTATGAGCTTGTGATCAATGTCAGGTGTGAATTAAAAACACAGGTAAAAAGTGATTGCCTATCATTAGAAATGTTCCCGTAGGCATTAATATAGTTATTAGGAGGGCCATGAGGATTAGCAAACTATACTGGAGTGGCAGTTTTATGACAGGAAAGGGATTATAAAACAAAAACAAGTGATCACAAGTGCAAAATGGTGATTAAGAAACTCGATCTCAATGAAATGACCGAAATTATTTCTGTACAAAAATAAAATTTGTCCTAAATCCCAATTTTTCGTATAGGACAAATAGCTTTCAGCTTAGGTCATGACTCTCAAATGAGACGGTTTCCAGACCCTTGGTTGTAATATTATAACAATTCTTATAACTGAAAGATCTCAAAATCCCAAAGCAGCATTATCCATGCAAGTTTGGTTAAGATCTTATTTTTGGCTAAAATGTTAAAAACATGTTGTATGCTAGGAAGTAATGAGAGTAGTGTCCCTTTGATTTATGATACAATTTTATCATGCGATGTAAATACATTTTGAATTAAAGTGCCATGGCATCAGACATGTTTTGTTGCTCTAAAGCTGTGTTTAGTTTAGCGGCATGAGGAGGCTTGATATATGTCTCCACATTTTTGTAATAAAAAAGAATCAAAACTAAACCAAAAACTTTTCTTTTCTCCAAATGTGTTTTGAAACCAAAATTTACTTACAATTTCAGTCAAACAACTGTTGCTATGACCTTGACCTTAAGACTAGGGACCTCGAAATCAATAGGGATCTTTTCATCCCATGGAGCCTATTCGAACAAAATTTGATATAGATATTGCTTAATTATTGAAAGATATTGTCTGGAAACTGCCATGATAGCATTCATCATATTATCAGGGCAATTCAGAATTGTGCCAAAAGTTTCATTAAGCAGCTAGTAGAATACTAAAATTGTAAATGGTTAACATTCATATTTTTTGGCAATGCTATTCTCAATTACATGCATAGAATTTAGTTTTGAAGTTTGTGTTCAAGAACATTTTTTTAGCAATGTTTTTAAAAAATAACATTTATTCTTATGAGGCTTAGAAATAGATAAAAAAAAAAACAAGGAATGTTGCTCATGGCTATCCTGTTTCCTCAAGATTACCACTTAATATTACATGTGAGACAATTATAGGTTTTCCCCTTATATTACAGAATAAAATGCTCCGCAGGGCGCAGCTTGATACGACCGCAGAGGTCGAACCCTGAACAGTTGGGGGAAGTATGGACACAACATTCAAGCTTGATACAGCTTTGGATTTGGATTGTGATTAAATATTTGACACAGCATAGGTTTCTAACACAGATTGAATGTGGTCTAAGAACTTAAAAATTTTAAATTGGACATTCACCTATTATGGTCCAATATCCAAAATCAAAATACATGGTTAGATTCAGCATATCAAAGAACCCCAAGAATTCAATTTTTGATGAAATCAAACAAAGTTTAATTTCGGACCCTTTTGACCTCAATGTGGACAAAGTTGATAACGGGGCCCAAAAATCAAAAATCTAAATACATGGTTAGATTCAGCATATCAAAGAACCCCATATATTCAATTTTTGTTGAAATCAAACAAAGTTTAATTTTGGACCCCGATTTGGACCAACTTGAAAACTGGGCCCATAATCAAAAATCTAAATACATGTTTAGATTCAGCATATCAAAGAACCCTAAGAATTCAATTTTTGTTAAAATCAAACTAAGTTTAATTTTGGACCCTTTGGACCTTAATGTAGACCAATTTGAAAACGGAACCAAAAATTAAGAATCTAAATACACGGTTAGATTCGGCATATCAAAGAACCCCAATAATTCAATTTTTGATGAAATCAAACAAAGTTTAATTTTGGACCCTTTTGACCTCAATGTGGACAAAGTTGATAACGGGGCCCAAAAATCAAAAATCTAAATACATGGTTAGATTCAGCATATCACAGAACCCCATATATTCAATTTTTGTTGAAATCAAACAAAGTTTAATTTTGGACCCCGATTTGGACCAACTTGAAAACTGGGCCCATAATCAAAAATCTAAATACATGTTTAGATTCAGCATATCAAAGAACCCTAAGAATTCAATTTTTGTTAAAATCAAACTAAGTTTAATTTTGGACCCTTTGGACCTTAATGTAGACCAATTCAAAAAACGGAACCAAAATTTAAGAATCTAAATACACAGTTAGATTCGGCATATCAAAGAACCCCAATAATTCAATTTTTGATGAAATCAAACAAAGTTTAATTTTGGACCCTTTGGACCTCAATGTGGACCAATTTAAAAACGGGGCCCAAAATCCAAAAACTAAATACACGGTTATATTCAGCATATTAAAGAACCCCATGAAATCAAGAATAAAACCCCATTGAAATTGGTCAAGAAATAAGCAATTTATAGGAAGTATCTTCTTTTGCACAATCCTGTGCTATTAAATATTTCTTGCTATTGCGCAATACTGTACAATTGACAATTTCTTGCTATTGCGCAATATTGTGCTATTGGATATTTCTTGCTATTGCGCAATACTGTGCAATTGAAGATTTCTTGCTATTGCGCAATACTGTGCAATTGAAGATTTCTTGCTATTGTGCAATACTGTGCAATTGAAAATTTCTTGCTATTGCACAATACTTATTATATAATAATTTACACATCCTGTTTGGTGTGTATCTCCTACCATATCATTATTATTTGATTTTAAATATAAATCAGAAATAACCAACTTAAAATGGAAAATTTTAAAAGAAACAAAAAAGGAAAAAAAGAAAAAAAAGGAAAAAAAAATAAATCCCCCCCCCAAAATTTTTTGAACCCCCATTATGATTCATCACCCCCCATCATCAATCCCAGCCTTCCCTTTGTGGTATGGTACCTTGCAGTACAATTTCAGAGAGATCCATACACTTGAACACAAGTTATTGTCTGGAAACTAGAAAAAAATGTGTTTTTTGGCCCCTTTTTGGCCCCAAATTCCTAAACGTTTAGGGCAATTACCCCCAAACTCAAACCCAGCTTTCCCTTTGTGATATGGAACCTTGTAGTACAATTTCAGAAAGATCCATACACTTACACACAAGTTATTGTCATGAAACTAGAAAAATGCTTGTTTTTTGCCCCTTTTTTGGCCCCTAATTCCTAAAATTTGGAGGCAATTACCCCCAAAATCAATCCCAGCATTCCTTTAGTGATATGGAACCTTGTGGTACAATGTCAGAGAGATCCATACACTAACACACAAGTTATGTCTGGAAGTTACAAAAATGCTTATTTTTGGCCCCTTTTTGGCCCCTAATTCCTTTACTGTTATTACCATAACCCCCAAAATCAATCCCAACCTTCCTTTTGTGGTATTGAACCTTGTGGTAAAATTTCATAAAGATCCATTCACTTAAACTAAAGTTAGAGTGCGAAAACCAATGTGTCTTCGGACGACGCCAGACTTCTACATCGACGACGACGCCGGACGACGACGACGCCAACGTCATACCAATATACGACCACAAAAAATTTTTTGCGGTCGTATAAAAATGAAAAATCAGAAGAAACTAATTTCTAATAATACTTGTGAATTTTGCACATGATTTGAACAAGATAAAAATTCTGTCTCTTTTGTGAAATCCTATATCAAGTTCTAAAGAGATATATTATAAACATCAAAAGTACAGACTTTATAAATAAGTGACAAGAATGCCATTGTTTACACAGTTAATGACTGCATAAGAAACCTGGCTGCAAAATTTTCCACATAAATCATACTTATGCATTTCTGTGTAATTTCTGTTTCCTTTATATCCATGCCCATCATCTGTGACCACTGGGCAGCACGCATGTTTATCATCCAGATTAAATCTGATTCAAACTGACTCTTGACACAGCTATCTAGACCCTTCCACTTGTAATATCTGAATACACATTCGGTTGCCTCTTCATAGAGTCTGGAAGTAAACACAATAAATAAAATGAGAAATTGTTGGTGATTTGACATGTGTTGAAATAAATTGTGAAGATCTTGGTAATAAGGTGGACATGTTTGGGGAGGGTTTGGCTCCAGCAAACATGTTTAACCCCTCCACATTCTGTATGTGCCTGTCCCAAATCAGGACCCTGTAATTCAGTGGTTGTCATTTATTGCAGCATATCGAATTTGTTTTTCGTTTTTTCTTTTGTATATAGATCAGGCTGTTAGTTCAATTTCTTGTTTGAATTATTTTACATTTGTTATAGCGGGCCCTTTTATAGCTTGCTGTGACGTATGGGTTTTGCTCATTGTTGAAGGTTGTACGGTGACCTATAGATGTTATTTTTTTTTCGTCATTTGGTCTCTGATGGATAATTGTCTCATTGGCAATCATACCATATCTTCTTATTTTTATATGTTGAACAAGAAATTATTAAAAACTGATTTCCAAATGGAAACAGAAAGTAGCCTATTCATACAGTACAAGTTCTTGCAAATGAAAAGATTTTTGTCCTCAATGGCATATTTATTCTATTCTGAAGTAAATATGTACATATATGTGTATGATAACAACATAATACTGGCAATATGACACTTAAAACATTGACAGAACATTGAGGTATATATATAAGGGACAGCAACTAACCAATACAAGAAAACAAGAAAACAAGAAAAGAAGTCAAATCATGGTCTTCATAATACTTTTGTATCTTTTATAACAGACAAATGCTTGCTGCAATGTTGACAGGATACTATGACAAATTTATATAGAGATCATTTAGATACAACCTTTGAGCTTTAATCTTAAGTGATAGCATAGTTCAATTTAATTTAACTTACACACAAGTCAAATTAGAAGTATCCAACTTTGTGTCAAACCTAGCCCTCATGACATTGTAAAGGCAGTTATCAAAATCCTGGTACATTTCTGGATCATACAGGAAACTGGAACATCTTTCTTGGTCACGATCATAGCCTGAAATTCATAAAAACATATGAGACAATTTTATACTCTTTTATTATTCATAAAATTTATCTATTAGAGTTAAAATAACTACTTTTATATTTAGAATAAAGGAGGGTCTGAATAAGGTTTAAATATTTCTGGAATTACTTATATGGAAAAAATCTCATTGTTTTCACAAATGAACTACATGCATTTCCATAGCGAAACGAAAGGGAAAAAAATAGAAAATAGGTTTTTCAACAGCATTGGATCTACTACTTATGAATTGGTGAAAAAACCAAGCAATATAACAATAAAGAGATGTGGTACGATTTCTAATAAGACAGCTATCCATAGACCAAAGGACAAAGATGTGAACAACTAAAGGTCATTGTACAATCTTCACTATTAAAAGATCAAAACTCATACCTTATAGAAAGCTATAAAATGTTTATAAAACTTAAAAGGAAGACAGTCTATATAAATTCCAATTACATTAGGTGTATGGTGTATATTTTCACTGATGTAACCACAGTAACCCATCATACAAATGAAATTAACTGATTTCCATGTAGAACGATAATAACTGTATGCTTTGTTTTGTTTCATTTCTCAACTATTTGGTAATATCTATGTGTAATATGGCGATTTGAAGAAAGAAAGAATTTCAATCAGTATGTTATTAATTAATCTAATTTCTTGACCCAACATAATCCTTCTTTTCAATTTTGATGAAATTTTAGAGTATCATTTCATTGGATTATTTTATAATGGGTAAAGTATCTCAAAAAAAGGAACTAAAATTGTATACTTCTAAGGTATCCTGTGTACATAAAAATGCTACTGAACAATACCTCAGAATTCAATAAGGGTGTAAACTCAAAGTACTGTATACATTAAAATGCTTACTATAGCAGTCTGTAGGATTAACATTGTTGGGTTTAACACGATACATCTGGCTGGCATGCTGTTGTAATACATTTGTAATGTCACTGTATGTACATGTCCCATCACTCTGTAGTAGTGGGTTTATTTTACTCATTCTATACACACATGCTGATGACTGCCAATAAAATCTGAAACAACAAGACATTTAACATAAACAATTAAGTCTGAAAGAAATTTAATTGCACAATCTTTTTTTAGATAAAAAAAATCATCTTAATCATTCTGAGATTATATGGTTAGCATTTTCAACTAGATTATAAACTTCACAATTATATTCATACTTTCACTTTTTTCCAGAAATTCCATGTGTTATGTATGACATAAATTTATGCCATTTAATTTCATATAAAGAAACAAGAGTGCACACGCTGAAATGTCTCACCTTCTTTACTAACCATTGATATTATGTTGATAGTCCTAAATATAAAGCTTTACCACAACTATCACATAAACTTAACATGATCGAAGAAAATGAGGTCAAAGTCATATAAACCAAACGAGAAATACATGTACACCTTACAATCATTCAATACACTAAATATAGTTGACCTATTGCTTATAGTTTATAAGAAACAGACTTAACCAAGAAAACTAAACATTGACCAATGAACCATGAAAATGAGTTCAAGGTCAGATGAACCATGCCAGGCAGACATATACAGCTTACAATCCTTCCATACAACAAATATGGTTGACCTATTACTTATAGTTTAAGAAAAACAGACCAAAACACAAAAACTTATCACTGAGCAATGAACCGTGAAAATGAGGTCAAGGTCAAATAAAACCTGTGAGACTGACATGTACATCATAAAATATTTCCATACACCAAATATAGTTGACCTATTGCATATAGTATTAGAAAAAAAGACCAAAACTCAAAAACTTTACTTTGACCACTGAACCATGAAAATGAGGTCAAGGTCAAATGACACCTGCCAGTTGGACATGTACACTTTACAATCATTCCATACACCAAATATAATAGACCTATTGCATACAGTATAAGAAAAACAGACCAAAACACAAAAAGTTAACTATAACCACTGAACCATGAAAATGAGGTCAAGGTCATATGACACCTGCCAGTTGGGCATGTACACCTTACAATCCTTCCATACACCAAATATACTAACCCTATTGCTTATAGTATCCGAGATATGGACTTGACCACCAAAACTTAACCTTGTTCACTGATCCATGAAATGAAGTCGAGGTCAAGTGAAAACTGTCTGACGGGCATGAGGACCTTGCAAGGTACACACATACCAAATATAGTTATCCTATTACTTATAATAAGAGAGAATTTAACATTCCAAAAAATCTGAACTTTTTTTCAAGTAGTCACTGAACCATGAAAATGAGGTCAAGGACATTGGACATATGAATGACGGAAACTTCGTAACATGAGGCATCTATATACAAAGTATGAAGCATCCAGGTCTTCCACCTTCTAAAATTTAAAGCTTTTAAGAAGTTATCTAACGCCACCGCCGCCGCCGGATCACTATCCCTATGTCGAGCTTTCTGCAACAAAAGTTGCAGGCTCGACAAAAATCATGGAAGCTTTTGCACTTTTTTTTCTGTAAGGAAAACATTTTCAATAACAAAATCTTGTCTTATAAAAATCTTATCATTATGAGGAATATAAAAAGTCAATTTTAATTCAAAATAGTTTGCTATAAAATTTCCAGATCAGGGAAGCCTTACTGGAATGCCTTTTTAAGGATGAATAATGCGCATAGTTATAAAATTTAGTAAATTGATTTACCTGCATTTTTCTGTCATTGAAGCACCTTGTTTAATATCTGTGGGTATGGCATCATAGTGACAATCAAAGTTCAATATATAGGACAATACATCAGGGTGAACACATGGTCTGACTTGGGCAGTTACAGGCATCATTGTAGGTAAAACAACTGTATCAGCTGAAGCTGAAAAAGAAAGATAATAGTACAGTTAAAAGGACAATATATTGGGATGAACATATAGTTGGACGGAAAGCAATTATAAGCATCTGTAGGTAAAACAAAGATGAACTGTGAACTATTGCTCACTAACGATGACTCCACTAGAAGTTTTGGGTAAACAGAAAGTTAATGAGAGATGGATATAAAATTCATCACATGGTATGTCATGGTATAGCATGATTACATAAAACTTGATACCAATTTTCAGGAAGCTCTGACTTCTTCCTGAGAAAAACGCAACAAAAATTGCATACAATTGCCTTTTGAAAGAATACGAACGTATTTGGTAAACAATAAGTTGATGATCGATGAATTTGGACATGCGTCACAAGGTATAGAGCATTTTCCCATGAATCTTGCTACCAGGAAACACTGATTTGAAGTTCCTGATGCATATTCAGAATAAGCATGACATCTTTCCCATTCAATAATGCGTAAATCACAATCCATCATTCGGATTCTTTGACATTATTCATTTTTAGCTCTATTCGTTAATTCAGCTATTTTCATTTGAGTCAAAGTCTCCTAAAACTAATTAGTAATTTTTGAAAGAATAATTCAAATATATAAACTTTAATCCTGTACATACATTTTAAGTTTAAAGACGATTTTTTCATTAAATATCTAAATTTTAATTTAAGCTGAATATTTGCTAATTATCTGGCCATGATGTTTTAAAACTAACCATAGCAGGTGCTTGGGTCAAAGCCTGTGACTGTACCTACACCAGATACTATATCCTGGAAGTAAGTTGTCATGGTTTTAGTCACTTTCTCCACAGAACATTGCTGGGCATGAAATACAACACATCCAATCATTTGGAGAAAAATTCTGAAACAAATTATAAATACAAATAAAAGAACAGAGTTCCAATGTCCCCCGCATTGCACATATTTTATATTTCCAAGGGGCATAACTCTTTTAAAAAAAGTCGATCGGCCACCATTATAAAACTTGTCCGAGATATTGCTGATATTAACCTATAGTATAAGATTTATAAAAATCTGGCAAGAATTGTACCCGTGAGAGCCCTAACTAGGCTATTTTCCATAAATTTAATAAATCCAAGGGGCATAACTCTTTTAAAAAAAGTCGATTGGCCACCATTATAAAACTTGTCCGAGATATTGCTGATATTAACCTATAGTATAAGATTTATAAAAATCTGGCAAGAATTGTACCCGTGAGACCCCTAACTAGGCTATTTTCCATAAATTTAATAAATCCAAGGTGCATAATTCTTTTAAAAATAGTTGATCGTCCATCATTATATAAATTGTCCATGATACTGCTGATATTAAACTATAGTAAAAGTTTTATAAAAATCTGACAAGAATTGTACCCGTGAGAGCACTAACGAGGCCATTTTCCATAAATTTCATATTTCCAAGGGCCATAACTCTTTTAAAAGAAGTCGATTGGCCACCATTATAAAACTTGTCCGAGATATTGCTGATATTAACCTATAGTACAAGTTTTATAAAAATCTGGCAAGAATTGTAACTGTGAGAGCCCTAACGAGGCCATTTTCCATAAATTTAATATTTCCAAGGAGCATTACTCTTTAGTAAAAGTCAATCGCCCACCATTATAAAACTTGTCCGAGATATTGCTGATATTAACCTATAGTATAAGATTTATAAAAATCTGGCAAGAATTGTACCCGTGAGAGCCCTAACTAGGCTATTTTCCATAAATTTAATAAATCCAAGGGGCACAACTCTTTTAAAAATAGTTGATCGTCCACCATTATATAAATTGTCCATGATACTGCTGATATTAAACTATAGTAAAAGTTTTATAAAAATCTGACAAGAATTGTACCCCTTAGAGCACTAACGAGGCCATTTTCCATAAATTTCATATTTCCAAGGGCCATAACTCTTTTAAAAAAAGTCGATTGGCCACCATTATAAAACTTGTCCGAGATATTGCTGATATTAACCTGTAGTATAAGTTTTATAAATATCTGGCAAGAATTGTAACTGTGAGAGCCCTAACGAGGCCATTTTCCATAAATTTAATATTTCCAAGGAGCATAACTCTTTAGAAAAAGTCAATCGCCCACCATTATAGAACTTGTCCGAGATATTGCTGATATTAACCTATAGTATAAGTTTTATAAAAATCTGGCTAGAATTGTACCCGTGAGATGGCTAATGAGGCCATTTTCCATAAATTTAATATTTCCAAGGGGCATAACTCTTAAAAAAAGTCGATCGGCCACCATTATAGAACTTGTCTGAGATATTGCTGATATTAACCTATAGTATAAGTTTTATAAAAATCTGGCAAGAATTGTAACCATGAGAGCGCTGACGAGGCCATTTTTGATAAATTTAATATTTCCAAGGGGCATTACTCTTTTAAAACTAGATGTGTCGGAACGACACGAATGGCCCGTCTCAAAAAGTTGAAAAATCTGCAATTTCAACAACACATGTGGACACAAACATGCATGGATAGTATCCAGCTCTCAAGACTAATACTAGTTTGATTATAAATTTCCTTAATCAATGAGTAGTTAAATTTCAAACTATCAGCAAACAGGAAGTGGATGTACTGAAGATGTGTTGAAGCGACATGAAAATCAGCATATCGGAATGAAACATAAACTTGATCTGTAACTCATCATGGTAGACTCACATATCAAAAATCAGCACAAAATCTGAAGGCATATAGAAAAAAGTCTGTATAACTGTGATTTTCAACAATTTATCAAAGTCCAAAGCCCGTAATTTCAGCAAAAATAGCAGAGTGGAACAAAACTTAAACTTGATCTGTAACTCATCATGGTTAACTCACATACCAAAAATCAGCCCAATATCTGAAGGCGTTTAGAAAAAAAGTCTGTATAACTGTGATTTTCAACAATTTATCCAAAGCCCGTAATTTCGGCAAAAATTAACAGAGCATAACGAAACTTAAACTTGATCTGTAACTCATCATGGTTAACTCACATACCAAAAATCAGCCCAATATCTGAAGGCATTTAGAACAAAAGTCTGTATAATGGTTTGTTGCGAAATGAGGGAATGATGGAATGACAGAATGATGGAATGATGGAATGAGGGAATGAGGAAATGAGGGACAAGGGTAAAACTATATGGCCCAACAACTTTGTTGCGGGGCCATAAAAAGTCGATCGGCCACCATTATAAAACTTGTCCGAGATATCGCTGATATTAACCTATAGTATAAGTTTTATAAAAATCTGGCAAGAATTGTAACCGTGAGAGCGCTAATGAGGTCATTTTCCATACATTTAATATTTCCAAGGGGCATAACTCTTTAAAAAAAGTCGATCGTCCACCATTATAGAACTTGTCTGAGATATTGCTGATATTAACCTATAGTATAAATTTTATAAAAATCTGGCAAGAATTGTACCCGTGAGATTGCTAACAAGACCGGACTGACACATTGACGGACGGACGCCCGGTATTTCCATGTCCCCCGCAACGCATCACGCGGGGGACAAAATTATATCAGAATAGCCAAAATTTTATTTTAAGTTTTGAATTTTTGAATTTTAACCATAAAATGAAATTAAACAATCCAAAAACATACATGTTGTTTGGAGAAAAGAACTCAGACACTTGATCAAAGAATTTTAAGTACACAGTTGCAAAACATATGGCTTAAATAATATTTTAAAAGAAACATAATTCTATTTATCAAAGTGCCTTTAGTTTGGTTTTTCTAGGACCAAACTATTATATTTCTATTTCAGAAAAAGGCTGGCTGTTCCCAAATCAGATAGAGTTCATAAAAATGTTTTCAATGAAATCTTTCACAGTACCCTAAAAGTCTATTACCAATAGATCTAACTACTCAAGAGATATCTAAAACGACAAAACAATATTTTTTGGAACAACCCCCGGAGTAGACATTTTTTTTACACTTTACAGCTTTGCCTTTGCCATAGTTTTTCATTCAAATAAACCTCTTAATGGGCTTTCAATAGTACAATTAATGGAAGATTGCTTACTATCAATGGCACTCAGCATTTTCTTTAAAAAAAGAGAGATTTAGGTCCAACTAATCTTTAATAATTTTCTTTTTTGGATTTAGAGTCAACTAATCATAAATAATATTTTTTATGCTTAAAGAATACTGACCTACACCTGTCCTGAGGATCTTGTACCTGTGTCAGTCGTTGCAATGCTGTGTCACATCTGTTGTGTATAATTGTTTTAATATAGGAATTTTTATCACACTCTGTTAAAACAACTAAAAAACAAAAACAAAAAATATAAATAATTGCTATTTGACTTAATATGAACAGTAAACAGTAACTGTACATAAAACAGTATAAGGTTTATTACTTTTTTACCAGTTTTAAGTCATTTTAAATAAATTTATCCAACATGAAGAGGAGTGAGGCCATGAGCCATCCAAATCCTGCCTCACTGATGTTTTAAATCCATAATTCAAAAGATTATCTATGTTGAAAGAATTTATTTGTAGGACATCTTAAAAGTTTTCAAGGTTTTTGGTGGTGTTTTTGTTGCTCAGTCTTCTATGTTTTCTATGTTGTGGTTTATGTGCTATTGTTCTTCTATGGCATTGTCAGATCTTTTTTGACTTATGAGTTTGATTATCCCTTTGGTATGTTCACCTCTACACATTTCATAAAATTACTTTTAAAAAAAAATCCTTAAAACCAAGAACCAATAAAAGAAGAGTTCCAACTTCCCCTGAGTTGCACATATTTTATCTGTCCATGGTCCAAGGGCAATAACTAAAACAATTTTTTTTTAATTTTTTTAAACATTTTTTTATAAATACCTTTGAGAAATGAAGGTTTCAGAGCAAATACAATGCAATTTTCGATATAATTAATATTTCCAAGGGGTATAACTCTTTTCAAAACTAGATATCATTGAGATGGGAGCCATCTCTGTGGGCCCCGCTGTGAATAATGTGTGGTAAAAAATTTGTATCTTTATCATTGGACATGGGGTTGTCAACTGAAACCAAAGTTTTTGACCTTGACCTTTGACCTAGGAAGTTGTGCATAAATTATGACACACCCTCTGGTGTTGGTTTACATACATGTCAAGTATAAACTTTGAAATCATAACGGTTCTCAAGATATAGAGCGGATACAATTTGTTACGGTCGGACAGATGGACAGTCGGATGGACGGACGGACGGACGGACGGATTGACAGACGGACAGACAGATGGACGGACAGACTGATCACTATAGGGCGTCCGCCATTCAGTGGGGCCCTAATAATTGATCTGCACTGATTTTCAAACTTGTCAAGAGACATTGCTGATATAAACCTATGATATTGTACATATGAGAGCACTCACAATGCAATTTTCCATATAATTAATGTTTCCAAGGGACATAACATTTTTAAAAGTAATTGATCAGTACTGATTTTCAAACTTGTCCGAGACATTGCTGATATAAACCTATGATATAAGTTTCATAAAAATCTGGCAAATGAGAGCGCTAACGAAGCAATTTTCCATATTATTAATGTTTCCAAGGGGCATAACTCTTTTAAAAATAGGTCATCAGCACTGATTTTCGAACTCGTCAGAGACATTGCTGACATAAATCTGTGATATAAGTTTAATAAACTTTAACAAGACCGGACAGACAGATGGACAGACGGACGCACGGTATTTCTTTGTCCCCTTCAATGCGTAGCGAGTTGGACAATAATTTTATAATTTGGTTATAACCGCTTAAAAAATGACGATTAAAGACTTTTCAAATTACAGTAATTTGAATGAGATTTACCTGTTACTTCTTTAACAGAGATTTCCTTAGTATCAATAGTTTGTACAAAGTCTAAATTATCTACTTCTGGGTCTTTTTTAACTGCTTCAATTATTGTTGTTGTTTCTTGTATCAGTTTTTCTGAGGTCCAGTCACTAAGGTTTGCAGAATCTTTCTTCAGAATGATCATAATGACAAACACTATAGAGCCTTGACTGAAATGAAATAAATATTATTGATTAACTACAGGGTAAAAAATTATTACGAGATCTTCAGGGATAAAATTCACACATGATGAATAACAAGTGTGTATTTATGTTTCCTTTTGGAATTTCTGCACAAGAAAAAGAAATATTGCTGACATAGGAGGAGATGTGCTTAGGGCCCTTTTCAGCCTAAAAAAGTGAAGTATTACAAATCCAGATGATTTAAAAAAAAGTTCAAACCCAGTCCTTTGCATGCTGTTTAGCCAGTTTATAGATTGTTATGTAACATATCAAAATCTCTTCTCCCAAAACAACCTTTTCAAAGTTAAATTTCCAACTATTTCAAAACAATTGTACAAATAAGCATCAAAAACATAATAGCTTTCCACCATTAATCTGGATATTTTGTTAACATTTCATGCAAATTGGTCCTAGCAAATTTTTGTATCAATCAAATTATAAACAGCAGATATATAAGAATACATAGTTAAAACAACTGTACCATATGATTTTTCATAGTGTAACATCTAAAACTTTAATATCAGTACATGAACCTGCATCCAGATTTTACATACCTGACCTCTAAAACTACAATGTCTTCAACTTCAACAGAACTGTTCTTGTAGTTATACAAAGCCAATGTCTAAAAGAATATATACAGAACAGCTATATATACAGAAAAGGTAAGATAATGGAAGTCTTCTGATATGGTACCAAACTTTTCTGAATTATTTTTACTTTAAAAACCTACAGTTACATCATTAATTTCATCTTTTATGTAAAGGTATAGAACCACTAATTGGGGGCAGGGTCAGAAAGAACATACAAGAAAGTAGTACATATTTTAAATGAAATAGTTCTTACACATATGTAACTTTGCCAATAAGTAAAATATTTACTGGTAGGTAATTTTGGTATCAAATGAAAGCTAAAGGACTTAAGATCACTGTAGAACCCTTGTTGAAAGTTTATTGAACTTAAGACAAAGTAGCCATTAATGCTTGAAATTGCAGAATTTAACATAGAAAGCAATGGGGCTATGAATTAGTGGTTTTATTCCTAAAGACCTTTTTTAATTATGTAGACCTTGCTGTAGGTGACTTAATTTCCACTTAAACAATTTTGGTTTCAACACCTGATATTTTGTTTAAATAGCTGTTGATACAGTAAACAAGAGGCTCTGTGTCCCTCATCTAGGTTTATGTGCATAATCAACAATGGACTCTCTCCAACATTGTAGACGAGTATGGAATTCAGGGCGAAAATTTCTTTTTTGTTGATCTTGTATTGTTGATCATTTTGTCTCTTTAGTTTCTCTCTATCTTCTTTAGTTTTTGCTAAAAAAAATCCTCATTTAAGGGCAAGCACTCTTAGGAAGAGTGACAGTCTACTAACTATATCTGCAAAATTTGACTTGTTTGTGGATCTAGCCTTGCTGATCATTTTTGTTCTTTAAAGTTTCTATTTATCTATTAAAATTTGTATCATATGAGGCAAAATGCAAAAAAAATTGGTAAAAATCGTCATTTAAGGGCAATAACTCCAATAAGGAGTCGTCAGAAAATTTTCCCCATATTGTTTTAAATGTAGATCATTTTTGCTAATTTAAGTTCTATCTTTCTATCGATTATAACTTATAAGATATAAGGCAAAAACGCAAAAAAATGGAAAAATTGGTCATCAAAGGGCAAGAACTCTAATTAGAAGTGGACTGACGATTTCTACCATGCCATACTTATTTCTTGTCATGTATGGATACAGTTGTAATAGAAATAAATTACTATATGAGTAACTTACCTGATTTCTGAATTTTTCTGTTAACTCTTTATATTCTGTGCTATTTTTATCCTCAAATTTTGGATCCCATGTTTTATTCACTTTCATATTAGCCTCAAATTCACCTGTAAAAATTAGAATAAATTCATAATAACAAAATTAAGAATGGAAATGGGGAATGTGTCAGAGAGACAACAACCCGACCATAGAGCAGACAACAGCCGAAGGCCACCAATGGGTCTTCAATGCAGCAAGAAACTCCCGCACCTGGAGGTGTCCTTCAGCTGGCCCCTAAACAAATATGTATACTAGTTCAGTGATAATGGACGTCATACTAAACTCCAAATTATACACAGGAACCTAAAATTAAAAATGATACAAGACTAACAAAGGCCAGAAGCTCCTGACTTGGGACAGATGCAAAAATGTGGCGGGGTTAAACATGTTTTTTGAGATCTCAACCCTCCCCCTATACCTCTAGCCAATGTAGAAAAAAACAAACGCACAACAGTACGCACAGTAAAACTCAGTATAAGAGAAGTCCGAGTCTGATGTCAGAATGGGAAACAAAAGAAAATAAAGAAAATGACAATAATACATAAATAACAACAGACTACTAGCAGTTACTGACATGCCAGCTCCAGACCTCAATTAAACTGATTGAAAGATTATGTCTTCATCATATGAATATCAGGCATAATCCCTCCTGTGCAGGGTTTAGTATTATACCGTCATAAAATATATGAGAAGAACATAACCCGTGTCATGCCAACAACTGTTTTTAAAATAAATGTGTTTAATTCCAATGCAAAGACCCTATAAGTGAATCAATATTAAAGCCAAAATATGCAATCTTTAATGACCTGACAACAGTATCGTAACTATATCCCTTCTTAATAAGTCTGTTTAAAGGTTTTGTTAGCTTTTGAGGTGAATACTGACATTTTTGTGCTTTGTAAAGAATATTACCATTAAAGATTGGATGTGAAATACAACATGTATTCAATTTTTGTCCACTGCTATCATAAAAAAAAATGTTTGTAAATCTAATCATAGAGCAAATAAACATGAGTCTAAACTTTTCATATCTTTTTCAGTATGAAAATGCACAATGTTTCGCAAAAATAAAAACTTGCAGTTTAAATTTCAACATTATTATTTCAATGCATTTCCTGAAATCACAATAATTAATTGCCGTTCAACCATCGCAATAATAAATGCATGCATAAATTTCTGAATTAACAGTACCAAAAAAGATACCATGCCTGTTAAATATTCTGTGATAAAATTAGATAACTAGAATGAATATCCAATGATGGGCATAAAACTTTTTATCAACAAGGCACTAAATATCCAATAACCCATGTGATAAGTAGAAAACATCTTTGTAAATATTCTGTAATTCAATAATTTGTAGATATATAGTCCATGAACAACACAGGCTATTCACTCTTTCAGCCATTTGACTTTTTCATATTTGTGAAAGTGCATGATAATGGCTAAAAATTCGTAAGGGTTCCGCGGAACCCAGTGTCTCGCCTATTTTTGCTGTTAATTGCAGGCTCAACAAAAATGAGGAAAAAAAAAAAAATTATTCCTCTCGATACTATCTTTTGATTGTAAGAAGCTTCTGTCTAAGTTTAGTAAAAATCCAGGATAGTTTATGAATCTAATAAATTTTTTAAAAACTTTAACTGCAGACTGTATGTAATGTTTACTGGAAGAAAAACTAAGTCCATTTATAAGTAAAATAAGGAAAAACAGGAACAAAATTTCCTTCTAGATACTAGCTTTTGATCATACATAAACAAGCTTCTGTCCAAGTTTGGTACAAATCCCGAATAGTTTAAGATAGTTATTAAAATTTTAAAAACTTTAACCACAGAGTGAATGTAATGTTTCTTCCTGGCAGAAAAACTAAGTCCATTTATAAGTAAAATACGGAAAAACAGGAATTTTTTTTTTTTACAAAATTTACTTCTGGATACTATCTTATGATCATAAACAAGCTTCTGTCCTAGTTTGGTAGAAATCCAGGATAGTTCAAGAAAGTTATTAAAATTTTAAAAACTTTACAGCTCTTTTCATAATGCTAGCAAGACAAAGGTTTGTTTGACTTGCTTGCTTTGTTTGTATAAATGTTTGCTCAAGCATGGTAATTAAGACTGACATCTGCAAACAATATAAGTAGGCAGAGTTAAACCTGTGTATAGGTAAATTTGATTATTTGATAATGTCCAATCAAATTTAAATATAATGTATACAAGTTTAAATCCGCCTTTTTATGTTGTTTCCAGATGTCAATCTTAATTACAATGCTTGAGCAAACATTGATACAAACAAAGCAAGCAAGCCAAACAAACCTTTGTCTTGCTAGCATTATGAAAAGAGCTGTAACCACAGAGTGAATGTAATGTTTCCTGGCAGAAAAACTAAGTCCATTTAAAGGTAAATTACGGAAAAAATGGAATTTTTTTTTTACAAAATTTACTTCTGGATACTATCTTATGATCATAAACAAGCTTCTGTCCTAGTTTGGTAGAAATCCAGGATAGTTTAAGAAAGTTATTAAAATTTCAAAAACTTTAACCACAGAGTGAATATTTGTGGACGCTGCCGACAACGACGCCGGAATGTAGGATCGCTATGTCTTGCTTTTTCGACAAAAGTCGAAGGCTCGACAAAAACCCAACAAGCTATATAAATGACTTATGTACACTAAGGCCAACTCATTACTCAGAAAGAAACAGGAAAATAATTATCTTTTCTGCTAACTGACCTTCAACCACCACTAAGGTCAACTCATTACTCAGAAAGAAACAGGAAAATAATTATCGTATCTGTTAACTGACCTTCAACCACCACTATTGTAGCTGTTGTTGTTTGTGGATCCATTGTTGTCATAGCTTCCATTGTTGTCATTTCTTCTGTAGGAGTTGGCATCACAATATGACCTTCAAAAAAGTCAAACAATATTTTAACTTATTGTTAAATAGAAAGTAATTAAATCAAACATAAGATCAAATTCATTTGCGTAAATATGTTGACTTGCATAATTTGCCAAACTTTGAAATTAAAGAAAACCCCTGTTAATGTAAAGGGTTATTTGGATTTCTTAAAAGTACAAATTCTGGCAAAGTTTGTTCATCGATGCACTTGAAATGTATTTTTACCTTCCTCCAATAAATTTTTTACCTGTTCAAAGTTTTTAATATAAATAAATTTCTTTTTTGCATTTATTAAAGATGGTCTCCATGTAAAATCACATGTTAGCTGTAGCTGAAGGTCTCTTTGTAAAATCTCATTAGTTCAATATGTATTTTAATGAAATTTTGCACAATTTATTTTTAAGTCTTCCCTTTTTGGTTCTAAAAATCACTTTGAACAAAAAACTGATGTTAAAAATTGGTACAGTATATGTACAATATTTAAACTTCAGGACAATACTATTATACTATTGGGACATTTTATCAATGTCTTGGTTGGGCGTATATATCAGCTGAATGCAAACATCTTGTATACAAAACAGGTTTTTATCAAAACACATATGAAATAAAATTGTTAATGTCTGCTTATTAAAGTTTAAGACATCTTCATCACTCATCTAGATATGCACAAAAAAATTATAAAGAATACCAATAGTTAATTTTAGACTTTTTACAATTTGGATATATGTTTTACTTTGTTATAAATCAAATATGAGAATTTGCCTCTAATCAGTACTTGAATTTGACAGCTGATGCCCCTTTTAGTTGTTCTGAATGAGTATAGAAAAGTTGTAAATAAATTTAATAAACACTATCAAAGAGCTGCTATCAATACACAATTATGAACAAGATAAAAAAAATATGATGTAACCGAAAACAATGACTGAGAAGATTACTTTGAGATGAAGAACAGCAATAAAAGCATTGTTTCTTTCCTTTTTGTATTTTTTTTTATGTGCATGAACTGATTTTTTGTCAAAATGGATACCCCATATTTTTTCTCTTCTATTATCTAGATACAAGTTCTACTGTTATTTTTTTCTGTCTTTGGATTAGCTTTCCTGTTCTGACTTCTTGGTAGTTTTCATGCTCTCAAGATTTATATATTTTCTCTCTTTCAATCATACCAGACATGATTAATTCAAGAAACTTGCATCATATGCACTAAATTTGGTATCAATGGCTTTATCCAGAAAAACATGTTTATACTGAATTTTTGTATCAGGACATTCTTCATTAACTGAATGTATGTAAATCAAAAACCTGTCTTATGCAAACAAAATCTTCAGTCTTAATGCATTTTGGCTAAAACAGATTGCACAGTTATGTTTATTGATCTGTTTAGTTTGATGATGTAAACTACAAATTTTTTAAAGTTTTCTTTCACAAAACTTTTATAAAAAGTAATTTAAAAGAGATCTTGTAAGTAGAAGCTGCCATGAATTTATTCATTTCAATAACACAACACCAAAAAAGATTCCAAACAACACTATTAAGCTGAATATATAGTTAAATTTAGTCACAATATATTTGTTATCTGGTGATGTTTAGTAATGATGTCATAGAGCTCTTCCTAGAAATGGGAGGTACACATTTTCCTATTCACATTTTTAAAATCTGAACATTGTTTATGTCAATAAATTTATTAAATTTCCAGAACACACAATCACAGCAAATAATACTGTTACTTAGTAAATCTTATGTTCTGTTTACCTGAAAATTTCCAATTCAGATAAAATGTACATTATTTACCATTTTTTCCAGTTCAATATAATTGCTTGGTTCCCTAAATGCCCTTTTTCTCTATAGATTCAGTGTAAAATTTGAAATGTCTCCACTTTGTAAAATATTATTTGTATAAAAGTTAATTCTAAATCATCCAATAAAAAAGGTTTTCTTCTTTGTACTAGTCCTGTAATTCCCTGGCAAGTCTGTGCATTTTGTTTTAATGAACAGACTTATTATAATTACAGAACAGGATCTTCCTGTGTGTAAATTTGCAGCAAAATGTAAACAACATGCCACAAAATATTATAACCCATCAGTTAAAAGTAATAAAAAATAATTACTTTATGCATCTTAAAATCGTTTGAATTATTTGCAATTTATTTTCATATCAAAATTACTCAGGATTTCATTGAAAAAACACAGTTTAGTTTATACAATCTTAATTATTGTATTGGCTAATAACATATCATGTGCTGCTGGTACTAGCTTTCAAGATGTATGAAAACATGTTAGCATTTTCTTGCATGTGCCATGTAGTAAGAAACAAGTATTATCTTAATATGTGGTTTTTTTTCTTCTAAACTACAATTTTCAGCAATCCAAAACATTTTCTCTTTTAACCAACTGTATTGTTTTTTAGAAGAATCAAGGGACTGAGGTAAAAATAGATTTCTTCATAAGCAGAATAGTATATTTATATTAGCCGTTAACTTACAATCTTGAATACTGGGTTGATTGGAATCTCCTATAATCTGAGACTGGTACATACTAATGAGTTGATAGATACTATCTATTGTACATGTAGCTTTTAACACAGCTTTAAGTTGTTGTTCTATACATACAATCAAATTACTTGCTTTCCTACAAAGAAAATAGAACTAAATTTTCAATACAACATTTCTCATAATTAATTATAAGGAAAATATATTCTCCACAACTATTGATGACATCATGCAAAAAACACTCAAATGTTTGCAATAAATAACAGTATAATTTGACTTAAAACTGCTAAGCTTCTTACCAGAATAAGATTATTAAAATGTATTTAATCGTATTAATTATAATAAAAAAAACCCCAATTTCCTTTTAAAAATACCAATAGTTCAAATGTCAAAAATTTAAGTATTTGGAATATAAAAATGTCAAAATCCGCTGGCTACACAAAGTAGAACTGCAGTATAAACACTTACATGCATTTATCATCTTGACTGGCTGATATAAACTCCTTCAGGTCATTAGGACAATACATATTAACAATCAAATGGACTGCATCAGGATCATTACACAAGGAAACTTTACTTCCAGAATTTATCCAGTCTATATTAACTGTAAAACAAAGGTTTGTAATATACAATTATATTGCCATGAAGTAAAGATATAAAGGTACTGTGTCTAAGAAAACAAGAGTGCACACGCTTAAATGTCTCACGTGTTTAACTTATCAATGAATTCATGTTGAAAGTCTGTAATAATGAAGGTTTTACTACAAGTGTCACATAAACCTAACATTATCAATGTTCTATGAAAATGAGGTTACGATCAGATGAATAATACCAAACAGACATGTACATCTAACAATCATTCCATACACCAAATATAGTGGTCCTATCGCTAGTAGTACATGTACCTGAGAAACAGATCAAACCACAAAATCTTAACATTACCCAATAAACCATTAAATTGAGGTCATGGGCATATGAAACCTTCCAGACAGACATGTTCACCTTACAATCATTCCATACACCAACATATAGTTGCCCTATTGCTTATAGTATCTGATAAACTGACAAAATTACAAAAACTGTACATTGTCCAATGAACAATGAAAATGAGGTCAAGGTCACATGAAACCTGCCAGATTGTCATGTACACCTTACTATCATTTCATAAACCAAATTTAGTGGCCTTATCGCTTATAGTATCTGAGAAATAGACCCAACTACAAAAACTTAACTTTTACCACTGAACCATGAAAATGAGGTCAAGGTCAGGTGACACCTGCCAGTTGGGCATGTAGACCTTACAATCATTCCATACACCATATGTAGTAGTGCTATTGCTTATAGTATCTGAGAAATGGACTTGACCATGAAAACTTAACCTTGTTCACTGATCCATGAATTGAGGTCTTAGTCAAGTGAAAGTTATAAGGACCTATCAAGGTAAGCACATGGTCCAAGGACACAGTTATCGTCCTTAGATTTTCGTTGTCTACAAATATAGTCCCTAGCGTGGTCAGTGTATAACTTGCAAATTTTTTTCATACACTTTCCAAATTTATTTCTTTATATTTCATGCATGAAATATTAAGCATGGGGATGAAATTACATGTTAAAAAAATTTCAGTGCTGTATCTTTATGTTAAGAAGTGATTTGGTCCAGTTAAAAAAAGGTCAAAAACTAGTATGTCTGAAGCTGTCAAACTGAATTTTAGACCCCCTTAACATAGAATTGTCAATATTTTGAGTTAGAGCTGGTAGACTTTTCTATAATTTTGATATTATTTGTCCCAACTGTAGTACACTACACTGTAAAAATCTTTTTGAGATAGAGCAGGTGCAATCTTTTTAATTTGAATTTATTGTCTAAAGAAATGCACTAAGAAATAACTGTGTTCTCGGGCCACATACCAAATATACTTAGGCTCCTATTACACATAAGAGAGAAATAAAAATCATGGTACAAAAAATCTTAACTTTTTTTCAAGCAGTTACTGAACCAAGAAAATGAGGTCAAGGACAATGGACATATAATAGACAGAAACTTCATAATATAAGGCATCTATATATATAGCTATATGCAAAGTATGAAGCATCCAGGTCTTCTTCCTTCCATCTGAAATATTAAGCTATTAAGTAACTTATTAACACCTCTGCCGCCGTCCGATCACTATCCCTATATCTCGCTTTCTGCGACAGAAGTTGCAGGCAAGACAAAAAAAAAGGCCAAAAAAGTAAATAAGGAAAACACAACCAATAGTCTACAAAAAACAACATAGTAATTCAAAGACAGAGAAACACAGACACAACGGAAAACTGGGGTCGATCTTCAGTACTCTGGAAGGGTTGGCAGATCCTATTCCACTTGTGGCACCTGTGATGTTGCATTGTAAATTTAATGGATGCCTTCCAATAAAATCTTATGACATTTGCGATATTGTTTCATGGTAACTTTGCCACTGGACGTTAAGCAACCAACATTCAATCAACCAATTATGTTAACTGAATATGAAGATTTTTTTGTATTCAGTAGTACTAAAAGTCTTTGCCCAAATTTCAGGTACAACGAAATTATGTCTGATAATACATATCAACGATTGGAAGCTTGTTACCTGAGGCTTACTTAATATACATGAAATATAAAAAAATATTAAAAAAATATTTAAAAAATCACAAATTAAATATTTTTACATTTTATACATGGACTCAAGTATCTTTGTAGAACAGAAAGTTGGGTTTTTTTCTATCCCTTGGAATTAGGGTAACCACATAAGCATCCGTGTTATACATAACAGAAATCAAAGAGTAAATTGAATACCTACCATTACATGAATTTAGTTCTGGTTTCTTTATATCTTCTAGCCACTTTGTATAGTTAGTACTGACTGTGTATATGTACTGGGTCATATCACATTTATCTTTACCAATGTGGTAGTAATAACACTTCAAAGCATCGGAAAAGTCACTGGAATAAAAAAAATAGTTAGAATACTGTTATCTGTGGATCTCGTCACATATATCTCTTTATATAGGGGATCTCTGTTGTCAGTGGCTTATGTACATTAGTTGAATTTGGACCGACTCTTGAATAAGTAGAAATTACCTACAACTTCCTAATGATCTGAGTGAATTGATTTGAGATTCACATATCTTACCTACAACTTCCTGATGACATGAAGGAGTTGATTTGAGATTCACATATCTTTTCTACAACTTCCTAATGATCTGGGTGAGTTGATCTGAGATTCACATATCTTACCTTCAACTTCCTGATGACCTTAGTGAGTTGATCTGAGATTCACATATCTTACCTACAACTTCCTAATGACATGAAATAGACAACTTTCGAGTTCGATGCATTTCCTTCAAAAACTTTGGTTTTAGTGAACATCATTCGTGCGTTTAGGGGCGTCGTCAATCCGTTCCAATGTTGAGCGTGTGGTTGGAAAACTATAATGCTATGTTGCACGAATTATTCGGCAAATTAAATTGTCATAATTGTCTTTAAGCACAGCTGTCATTAGGGAATTGTGATTAAGTACCTACAGAACGAATATTATATCTAGTTTATCCTGCACAATGACGATCACTAAGACGCTTGATGAACGTTTATAGTGCAGGGATACAGGCGATCCCCTCTATCTGGTAAATGACGTCATAAAGGCGCGCATAATTGACGATTTTTTTCCGGTGACGGATAAACTCGAAAGTGGTCTATTGATTTGAGATTCATATCTTTTCTACAACTTCCTAATGATCTGGGTGAGTTGATCTGAGATTCACATATCTTACCTACAACTTCTTGATGACCTGAGTGAGTTGATCTGAGATTCACATATCTTATATACAACTTTCTAATGACATGAAGGAGTTGATTTGAGATTCACATATCTTTTCCAAAACTTCCTAATGATCTAGGTGAGTTGATTTGAGATTCACATATCTTACCTACAACTTCCTGATGATCTAGGTGAGTTGATTTGAGATTCAAATATCTTACCTACAACTTCCTAATGACATGAAGGAGTTGATTTGAGATTCACATATCTTACCTACAACTTCCTGATGATCTGAGTGAGTTGATTTGAGATTCACATATCTTACCTACAACTTCCTAATGACATGAAGGAGTTGATTTGAGATTCACATATCTTACCTACAACTTCCTAATGACATGAAGGAGTTGATCTGAGATTCACATATCTTACCTTCAACTTCCTGATGACCTGAGTGAGTTGATCTGAGATTCACATATCTTACATACAACTTTCTAATGACATTAAGGAGTTGATCTGAGATTCATATATCTTACCTACAACTTCCTAATGACATGAAGGAGTTGATTTGAGATTCACATATCTTACCTACAATTTCCTGATGATCTGGGTGAGTTGATTTGAGATTCACATATCTTATCTACAACTGCCAAATGATCTGAGGGAATTGATTTGAGATTCACATATCTTACCTAAAACTTCCTGATGATCTGAGTGAGTTGATTTGAGATTCACATATCTTACCTACAACTTCCTAATGACATGAAGGAGTTGATTTGAGATTCACATATCTTACCTACAACTTCCTGATGATCTGAGTGAGTTGATTTGAGATTCACATATCTTACCTACAACTTCCTAATGACATGAAGGAGTTGATTTGAGATTCACATATCTTACCTACAACTTCCTAATGACATGAAGGAGTTGATCTGAGATTCACATATCTTACCTTCAACTTCCTGATGACCTGAGTGAGTTGATCTGAGATTCACATATCTTACATACAACTTTCTAATGACATTAAGGAGTTGATCTGAGATTCATATATCTTACCTACAACTTCCTAATGACATGAAGGAGTTGATTTGAGATTCACATATCTTACCTACAATTTCCAGATGATCTGGGTGAGTTGATTTGAGATTCACATATCTTATCTACAACTGCCAAATGATCTGAGGGAATTGATTTGAGATTCACATATCTTACCTAAAACTTCCTGATGATCTGAGTGAGTTGATTTGAGATTCACATATCTTACCTACAACTTCCTAATGACCTGAGTGAGTTGATTTGAGATTTGCATATCTTACCTACAACTTCCAAATGATCTGAGGGAACTGATTTGAGATTCACATATCTTACCTACAACTTCCTGATGATCTGAGTGAGTTGATTTGAGATTCACATATCTTACCTACAACTTCCAAATGATCTGAGGGAGTTGATTTGAGATTCACATATAACTGGTATATAGTATGTAATGGCTTCTATGTCTGTACAAGATGATGTTGGTAAACCTGAATAAAATTTAAGATTAAATTTAAATTATAAATGGAATAAATTGGACAGTTCTTCTTCCTGACAGACAATTTTTTAATGAAAAACTTCCAAAACCTCTAGTGTTTTTCACTGGCAACTTTTAGCAGTAGAAAAATGTTACATATATTTTATATTGTTCAATTTTGGGATTCATTTTCTGTTTGACTGGTTTTGAACAAAAATATAATTTAATTAGTTTTTTTTTATATCTTTTATATAATAACAAATTTTTTGTGTTGAATGACACCAAATTGTGTTTTTTTTTTTTCATCATTTTGGTTTTTTGCTTCATGCTGATTTGCTGAGTCAAGCCCTTTCTTACTGATTTTTACAATTTGTTCTCATGTTGGGAAGGTTGAGCATGTGAAACATTTATTTATATCTTTGGAAAGGCACATGATCATGTAGCAAATTTAAACTGGTTTTATGAGATTTCTGCCCTCTCCTTTTAATCTTGTTATTGATAAACAAACTTACATGACATAGGATCAACATTGAGCATATTACCAATACTCTCCCTGTTATCGACAATAATGTTATGTTTTTGTTCCTCTGTACACATCCTTCCACTATAATCTGTTTTTATCTTATTTATGATACAGGGTAAAATAGTTCCCATAAGTATGCTGTAAGAAAATTTTACATACTGTATATTCAGAAATTATTGCGATGTTTTTATTAATGAAAAAAATGCAACAGTATCAAATTCACGATAATAAAAACCAGCAGTCATGATTACGATAGTGATTTTCCTTTATTCATTGATTATTGCAAATCACCATTAACTGGTTTAAATGTGTGATCCAATTAATGTGATGCATTAATTTCTGAATATACAGTAATCTATTAATAGCAGTGTTCTCTTTTGTTAAATAACAAGAAGAAAGAGCTGTCAAATAAAACAACAAACATTCAAAATTGATAAACATTATCCATGAAATAATACATAAGGAAAAGATCTGCTGACTATAAGAATAAGGGTCTATCAAATTTCATAATTAAACAAGTGCGCTAAAATGTCTCGCCAGTATTAGTTATCATTGAATTCATGTTGAAAGTCTATGAAATCTTACAACCATTGCATTCATCAAATAAAGTGGTTCTATTGCTTATAGTACCTGAGAAACAGACCAAACCACAAAGTCTAAACATTGACCAACAAAAATTAAAAAAAATAATTTCAAGCAGTCACTGAACCATGAAAATGAGGTTAGGGACAATGGACCGAAGGAAACTTTGTAATATAAGGTATCTGCATACAAGGTATGCAGCATCCAGATCTTCTAGCTTCTGAAATATAAAGCTTGATACAAATAGTTTAGGCTGTCGCCCCTACACGATTGTATCCCTATGTCTCTCATTCTGGGACTTTCTTTACAAGTGAGACAAAAAAAATACCTGTTGCATCAAGAAAAAAGATTTGAGGAAAGATTTTACTGTTTTGTGTTTTCTATACCATCAGAAAACATAGAATTTTCCCCAAAATTGCACCGATTGTAGGCTAGATTTTACTTCTTTTGGTTGTTCTTACTTGAACCAGTACCAGAATGTTCTATCAAAGAGTAGGTAACCTGTCAAAATATGTTATACTGTTGAGTTAAAAGTCTTTAATATGAAAATAGTCTATTTTCAATCTATATTCCAGAGTGTAGATGCCTACAAGGTTGCAATTCATACCTTGCCTTTAAAACAAGTTACTGATCAACTAAATACAATTCCAAAATATGTAAAAGCTAAAATCTAATTAATGAAGTTACAATATTTCAACAAACCTGCATCTTTCTTTCGTAGTGATGTTATTTCTAATTAAATCTCCTGAAGAGGCAGCAACACATGCCAAGGAAGGAGACACAAGTAAACTAGAGTCAGTACATGGATTACCAACTGTAAAAACAAATTAAAAAAGTAAGATAAAGTATGGACATGTCCCTAACATAAGTCAGGATTCTTATCAGTCTTTTGTTATAAAAACAATTGCATTTTTATAAAAATAAGAAAAATATCAGTTTTACCTTAAAGTTTGTAATTTTCTTTTAAATATATGATACCAACTTTTAAAACAAGAAAAAAATCCAAGATGTACTCACCACCTGTAACACTAAGTTTGGTGATGCCACTGTGACCTTGACCTGCAGAACTGGATGCGAAACACACATAAGATCCTTCATCACTTGGCTGGACATTTAATATGGTCAAGGACGGATTGCTGGTACTACTACCAGTGTATTTGTTGGTATCTGTTTGAGAATTGATTGTTTCTATATCACCAAGTACTTGTCTCTGCCAGAACACATTGCTAACAACTAAAGTAGAGGTCACACTACAATCCAAGGTCACACTGCCATTGGCAACACTGTAGGATACTTTGGATAATGAAACAGATGGTACGTCTACATAATATAAGAAAAATCAGCAATTCATTGTTTTGTAGATGTCTAATATATATTTCACATGTGATGAAACTAGAGGCTCTAAAGAGCCTGTGTCGCTCATACTGGCCTATGTGCATATTCAACAAAGGACACTCTCCAACATTGTAGACGAGAATAGAATTCAAGATGAAAATCTCTGTTTTGTTGATGTTAATGCTGTCTGTTTAGTTTCTCTCTATCTTCTTTAATTTTTGCTCAAAATACAAAACAGGGTAAAAAAAAAATCCTCATTTACGGACAATCACTCCTATAAAGAGTGAAAGTCTACTAACTATATCTGCAAAATTTGACTTGTTAGTAGATCTTGCCTTGCTGATCATTTTTGTGATTAAAAGTGTCTATTTATCTATTTTAATTTTTATCATATAAGGCAAAACGCAAAAAAAATGGTAAAAATCGTCATTAAAGGGCAATAACTCCAATAAGGAGTCGTTGACGATTTCCTCCATAATTATCTTAATAGTAGATCTTGTCTTGCTGATCATTTTTGCTTATTTAAGTTTCTATCTATCTACTACATTTTTTAAGGTATAAGGCAAAAACGCAAAAAAATGGTAATCATCAAAGGGCAATAACTCTAATAAGGAGTCCACTGAAGATTTCGACCATGCAGACTTATTTGTAGATCTTGTCTTGCTGATCATTTTTGCTTATTTAAGTTTCTATCTATCTACTATATTTTTTATGGTATAAGGCAAAAACGCAAAAAATTGGTAATCATCAAAGGGCAAATAACTCTAATAAGGAGTCGACTGAAGATTTCGACCATGCAGACTTATTTGTAGAACTTGTCTTGCTGATCATTTTTGCAATTTAAAGTTTTTCTCTCTCCAAATATTGATTTAAAGATCTAGATAATAGGCAAAAATGAAGAAAAAAAATGGTAAAATTTGTCATTTATTATAAGAAGTCGTCTGACAATTGGTAGAGCTCAAAATTCTGAACATTTATGACCATGGCAGATTTTCTCTATTTATAACGGTTTTCAAAAAAACTTGCATTTTACCCTTATGTTCTATTTTAGCAATGTCCACCATCTTGGTTGGCAGGCCGGGTCATCGGACACAATTTTCAAACTAGATACCCTAATGATGATTGTGGCCAAGTTTGGTTAAATTTGGCCCAGTAGTTTCAGAGGAGAAGATTTTTGTAAAAGTTAACAGACGGCCAGGTGAGCTAAAAATTTCTAACTTCATGATCAATCAATAAATACAAAATTGAAAGGGTAAATTGAATATAAGAAATACTTTAAAAGCTGTCTTTACATGAAGTTTCAACATTTTTATGTTAACTTAAAAATCAGAATAAAGATTACTAAAAAATATGTTGTGCTCCAATAAGATAAAAATCCTATGAATATAGAAATTAAACATAAAATAGTATGAATATAGAAATTAAACATTAAATAGAAGTCCAAGTTAAATACACTCAAACTCAGTCTCTATACCATTTTTAATATAAAAAAAATAAAAATCTAAATAAATTAATTTTCACCACTGTGATTAAATATGAAAATAAGTATATAAGTGACAAACAAAATATTGTTAGACTTTTCACATATATAGAAATTATGGGTGATGAGGTATTTTTAATTATCATAGCTATAAAGTGCAACTTCAAATACTGTAAATTCAGAAATTTTTGCGTGCATTCATTACTGGGATTTTTGAAGAATATACAAAAATGTGTGATTTATTATTGTAATTTCAGGATAATCTGCATATACAGATATATGTATCAGATATCAGAATGCAAGTTCTGACTATTGCGATACTCACCCAGTTGCATTATTCACATTAATAAAAATCTCGCAACAATTCAGAATTTACAGTAGACATTGTATAATATGAATTACTTATAAAACCAGTGCACACAGAGAGAAGACAATGTTAACTGGTCAAACAAAAAAAGAAATATATGTGAATGAGTAAGGGAGGAAAACACCCTTACCTGTTGGTGGTGTTGTTGTTGTCTTAATTTGGGTTGTTGTTAGTTCTGGGGTCACAAGAGATTGTGTTGTTGTCTTGCCTTGAGTAATAACTATTTCTGCAGTTGTATGTTCTTGGGTAACAACAGATTGTGTTGTTGTTTTTGCTTGAGTAAGAACAACTTTAGTGGTTGTCTGTTCAGGAGAAACTACTCCTGTTGTTTGTTCTTGGGTACTAACAAATTGTGTTGTTGTTGTTTTAGCTTCAGAAACAACAGATTGTGTAGTTGTTTTAGCTTGAGAAACGGCTCTATCTGTACTCTGCTGTTGAGTAACTTGTTTTGTTATTTCAACTTCAGTAATAGCTAATTTAGTAGTACCTGTAGTTGGTGCTTTGGTTGTTGTCGTTGATGGCAGAGTATCTTCTGTTGTAAAAACCTCTGCAGTTGATGCTTTTGTAGTGGTAGTAGTTGGCGCTTTGGTTGTTGTCATTGATGGCTGAGCATCTTCTGTTGTAAAAACCTCTGCAGTTGATGCTTTTGTTGTGGTAGTAGTTGGTGCTTTGGTTGTAGTCGTTGAAGGCTGAGCATCTTGTGTTGTAAAAATCTCTTCTGTTGATGATTTTGTTGTGGTAGTAGTTGGCGCTTTGGTTGTTGTCGTTGACAGCTGAGATTCTTGTGTTGTAAAAATCTCTTCTGTTGATGCTTTTGTAGGGGTAGTAGTTGGCGCTTTGGATGTTGTCGTTGACGGCTGAGCATCTTCTGTTGTCACAACCAATGTAGTTGTTGCCTTGGTAGTGGTAGTAGTTGGAGCATTTGTTGTTGTTGTAGTAGTGGAAGTTGTTGTTTGTGACACTAAAAACAAAGGATATTGTGTTATGTACATCTCAATTTATTTTTTCAAATTTCAATAAAATATTTAAGAATTCTGAATGACAATTTTGAAAAAATTAAAAATAATCTCATCAATAACTTAGATTAACTTTAACATATTTCATTTGCTATTAAAATCTAAAACAGTTGGACACAAGTTAAAGCAACATTATTAAGTCCTCTCCTGTTATTAGCATAATAGAAAAACAAAGCAAATTATAACCATTAAAAAACACACATTGAAAATCAAATCTGTTGAATAACAATAACAATACACAATCAAAAACATAATAATGAGATTATGTGTTCATGGTCAGTGAACTGCAAAATCTGGGGTCAGAACTGTAATTAGGCGTACTATTTTAAAAGCATTACATCATGATGAACATGTGTACCAAACTACCTTATCCTTATTAAAAAATTTAACCTAAATCCAAGTTTCAAGTTGATGTAATCACTAATTTCATGGCAAACTACATTTGTACCTTATCCTAAAATTTAACCTAAACCCAAGTTACAAGTTGATGTGATAACTAATTTCATGGCAAACTACCTTATCCTAAAACTTTAACCTAATACAGGATGGATAAACAGACAAGCTGACAGATGAATAGACAGGCTGATAGATGGAAGCATAGTCTATGAAGCTTAATGTCTCTTATTTTCATAATTAACATTACAATCCATGAAATAATGAATATGTTTTATTTCAGTATTTTAGTATACTGGGTTAAGCTTGATGTTAATTTCACAGTAACTAAAGTGCTATTCATTTAATGAATATTTGCGTGTATTTTGTAGGCCCTTAATTTCATGTAAATTACTGTAAATTCTTTTAAAAACGCAATAACAATTGCAAACATTAATTCTAAATTTTCAGTAAATCCCCTTTTCCCATGGCCTGAAATCTGAATTCAAAAATAGGGTCATCTCATAATCATCTATTAACATATATAAGTGTGAGACAAACAACCTTTACAAATACTAATAATGACAAACACCAATGCTATGAATTGAATATATAGTGGCTGGATTAAACTAATGTAAATTGTTGTGTATGGAGTCAGAAGTTCCTAGGTTTTAGGGTTAAATTCTTTAATAAATTATTCTTACCAATGACTGATGTCACAGTTACTTCATCTACAGCCTTGATCAAATCAGATGAAGATGTTGAATCATCCTTAATTTGCTGTACACTTTGTTCTGTAGCTTGCTGTACAGTACCAACTGTCTGTATTGTATTTTGGTTTAATGTTATTATATAGTCTACTACTAAACTGCCTTGGCTGAAACAGAAGTATACAGGTCAGGGCTTCAAAAAAAAATTTGAGCCAGCTGGACATTTTATGTCTTATACTGATTTGAAAAAATAGTAACAACAGGCAATCATGGTAATCAGTTGGGCATCATATAAACAATGATTGACATAAAAACTTGATTTTTGATTTAAATTTGATGTAATGACGCAAACTGTTAAATTGACAGTGCATCTTTCGAAGTGTGCAACATCAGCGTACTAATATCTGCCTTAAACTCTTCAATTGTGCAAAAGTACATTGTCATCTGTCCATCCCTTGTTTTTTAGACAAGGCTGACCACACTCTAAACACCACTGCTTTTAAAGTGGCATTCACACATCTTTTTTTTTTTATTTGCAAGCAGTTGTTAATCACACATTCTAGTCCTCTTTTCATGTAAAATATCAATGATCAATATCCCCTCTTTTAACTTTCAATGCAAAAACTGAAATTTAATATTTCGATCTATTCTATAAGTCCAGTAATATGCATTGCCATAGGAACATCTGTTTGTACTTCAGTTTTTGCAGGCTATATATTTGTTCACTATTGTTGTTTGGATTGTATTTTGTACATCAGGTATTTGTGTTTACCTAATCTTGGTTTTTATTTTTTACCTGCACATTTTTCTTAGTTTTTTAGCCCTTTAAGTTTATACTGGCCATTATTCTTTGACTTAAACTGACCTTGAAAGTACTTGTTTAGTGTAGCAAAGGAACATTGCTTTTATTGCTGTTCTTCATCTGAAGTAGTTTTTAGCCGTTCAAGTTAAACTCACCTTAGTCCTGTTACTGTTACTCCTTGAAAGTCATTCTTTAAAGCAGAGCCTTGATACATAGATGTTAGCTACAATATAAAGAATGTTGTTTTCAAGACTAATTCAAAGGAGTAGGTCCGGTAAGGGCCGATTTTGGCCTCAAATTTCAGGTTCATCTAACGAAAGAATTTGGACACTTTTTAAACACTTAAGTGTCTATTTCAGTTGATTCAATTAGTTTATGTGAAAGATTTTAACTGATTGAGTCATTAAAAACGCTCCGATTACAGCTTAAATATGAAAAATCTATCCAATATGCCAAAAGATGTCACTTTTCAGATGGTTTTTGTCAAAAATGAAAGTGGCCGCATCCGTGTTCATCCTCAACCTTTATATATGTTATGTATTATCATCAAATACAACTTACATTTAAATATTAAGAATGAACACAATGGGGCCACTTTCATTTAAGACGGAAACCGTCTAAAATTTAACTAAAATACTAAAATTGTGAAGATTTCAGTAATTTAGCATGACTTAATGATGCTAGTACCCGATATATGTGCATTGTATTGTCAAAAACAGCCCATATTTATGTAGCAGAAGCATTCTACTTTCCAATAAATAACTAAAAGTTTACATTTTAACAATTTTGTAAAACTGCTATATTTTGGGGCCAAAAAGGGGTCTTACTGGACCTACTCCTTTAAGAATATGTGTTTGTAGGACACCATGCACTACTCACAATTTTCCATGTTCAGGGAATCATGAAATATAATTGGTTAAAACCTAATTTGACATATATATTTTAAAGTTCATATCATAATTTACATTGACGTCTTTACATTAAATCTGTTGGATGTGAACTGATTGATACTTTAGTCTGGAAGAACGTGATTCATTTATTAGTTGCTATTGGCTTCGAATTAGCTTTCAGTAACTGTGAGTACTCTTATGGGTACTTTGTGTCTTTTTTCTTTATGTTAGTTGTTTTTTGTGCTTGTGCCAATCTGATGAGTCAAACCATTCCCAACTTATTTTACAATTTGTTATGTTGTGCTGTTTTACCACTGTCCCTGTTTAGGGGAGGGTTGAGCTCTCACAAGCATGTTTAACCCTGCAACATTCTATATGTGCCTGTCCAAATTCAGGAGTCTGTAATTCAATGAATGTCATTAGTTTCTGTTTGTCATAGTTGTTTTTCATTTAATGTGTTTAGGATAAATCAGGCTGTTCATTTTTTTGGTTTGAATTGTTTTGTTACAGGCTTGATAAAAATTAAAGTAATGGTGTCAACAAAATTTATTGTTGTTTGCTTAATGTTATAATCAAGATTTTAACAATGAAAAAAGAAACAAAAATGTGTCCATAGTACACGGATGCCCCACTCGCACTATCATTTTCTATGTTCAATGGAGGGTGAAATTGGGTTCAAAACTCTAATTTGGCATTAAAATTAGAAAGATCATATCATAGGGAACATGGGTACTAAGTTTCAAGTTGATTAGACTTCAACTTCATCAAAAACTACCTTGACCAAAAACTTTAAACCAGACGGACGGACGGACAAACAGACGCACAGACCGAAAAAACATAATGCCCCTAGGTGGGGCATAAAAAGAAAAAGTAAAGGGAATATACATGTACTTGTATACATCTTAACAAACGGTCATTTTCATTTTTAGATATCAATTCACTGGTAATGTTACTGTCTGTAGCTGTTGATTTGATTACAGTTGAACTTACCTGCCTTTCTAATTTTGTTTTCATGTCTATATATTGTTGACTATTTTGATTTGCATATGCAGCATCATATGGTTTATTGATCTTCATAGAAGTCTGAAACTTTCCTGCAATAAATATAATGAAATAAACATTAATAACAGGTTTATATATCTAAGAAAATATATTTGTTCTAGAAGATGTAGGGGCAATAATGTCCTTATTTGGCCCCAAATTTAGGGCATATTCAAAAATAACTATACATGTTCTTAAATTTGCCCTAACATGACTAAAGCAAAATGTTTAAAGAAAATAAAGATAAGTTTCTTATTTGAAAAAGTTCTGGATGGAACCATTTAGAAAATCAGCATTTTTCTTCATTTTCATGAAATATATCCATTCTTACACCAAATTGTTACATCATAAAAACATAAATCCTTATTAACATACATTTCTTGATTTTATGCATTTCTCTATATTACGAGTAAAGGAGTAGGTCCAGTAAGACCCCTTTTTGGCCCCAAAATATAGCAGTTTGACAAAATTGTTAAAATGTAAACTTTTAGCTATTTATTGGAAAGAAGAATACTTCTGTTACATAAATATGGGCTGTTTTTGACAATACAATGCACATGTATGCACAAGTCATGCTAAATTACTGAAATCTTCACAATTTAAGCATTTGAGTTAATTTTTAGACGGTTTTCGTCTTAAATGAAAGTGGCCGCATTCGTGTTCATTCTTAATATTTAAATGTTAGTTGTATTTGATGATAATACATATCATATATAAAGGTCGAGGATGAACACGAATGCGGCCACTTTCATCTTTGACAAAAACCATCTGAAAAGTGACATATTATGGCATAATTGATAGATTTTTAATATTTAAGCCTGAATTTAAGCGTCTTTAGTGACTAAATCGGCCCAAATCTTACAGATAAACTAATTGAATCTACTAAAGTAGACACTTGAGTGTTTAAAAAGTGTCCAAAATATTTCATCAGATGAACCTGAAATTTGAGGCCAAAATCGGCCCTTATCGGACCTACTCCTTTGAAGTAGTTCTTAAAAACTTCATTTTCTTTAGCCAAAAATGGGTCTTAAATTCCCTTTCTTGAACTGTAAGTTTAAAAAATGAATACAGCTTCTTAGAAAAGATAGCAACTGTTTTATTGTGGGATTTTGTGTAGAGACATATTGCTGAATATAAAAGTTAAGCAGCTACTTTCCAACTGACTTTTATTTTGCTTTTAAACAACATTATTTTAAGTACTTCAATGTTACCTGTTTAATTACAGTCAGGGTTACTACACCAAATAAACATTAAATGATTAAAGGTGTGTGTTGAAATCTCAAAAACTAATGTAAACCTGCCAAATTTCATGTGTCTATTTTTCTAGACTAATGAATTTAGAGCTTGACATAATTGAATAGGCACTTGTGAGTTGTCTATCCATGAAGACTGTATGTATACTTTATATGTATTTTGCTTATTGTGTTGTTGGGTTGCTGTCTCCCTGACAAACACCCTTACATCATCTTCTATTCATTGAAGTATCACACTTTGTTAAGTCAAAAGACTGAAAAGAGTTGCTACAGGGGGGAATAAACATTGAGGAATGGATGGTATGAAAATTCATAATTATTCTGTAGCATAATTATTGGAAGTTTATCCTTCAATAAAACCCCTCAGTTCTAAACTTGACCTGCCTGTAATGTTTACAAATATTAACCTTGACTTATATATTTATAAAGGCATTGTTTGGTCAGATCCTAGTAATATAGACCCCTCTTACCACACCATATTTTCTATTATACTGTAATAAAAGTGTAAAGATTTGACTTTCACATATTACATACATCATCTTATCTAGTCTTTATTCAAAAAGCCATTCATTGAAAAAACAACAAACAAAACAGTCAAATGCCAAAAACTATTTTGTGGAATGCTTTCTGAAAAGATATTTAATATAAAACAGTATTTTCTTTATGGAAGGTATTGATCGAAGATTTTCACGTACTGTGTTGGCGATGAAATAATAAAAACAGCCAATACAAAGACCTATTATTGTGAGAATTATATAAGTGTCACTTCTTTTAATTTGCAGAACCATTTTAATACAACCAACCACTCATTCAAATAACAATGAAATAATATTCTTTAAACCTGGCTGGGAATATGACTGTGACTAATATATTTGTGCGAAGATACCTTCAGGACTGTTTTGTAAGACAACAGATAATAAGGTTCATCCTATACAAACATTAAATGTCTCTGATGAAAAGATATGTTGCCTCAGGTCACAAATATCGTCAATTAAATTTAAAGGGAACACATAAATGTATATGTATAGACATTTTCATTTTGTTTCTTTTATGCAGGTTGTTTTTTACTGCTGATATCTTTATAAAGAAAACAGGAAAATGTGCTGCTTAATCCTATCACTGAAACATATTTAAATGTTATGTAATATGATATTTAAAATTATTCCACCTTGAGGTTTCCCTTTAATCCACATGTTATATTCAGACTACAATTGATCGAAGAAATAGGTAAATACATCCTATCAAATGAAAACTATTTGAAAATTATAGTTTGGCATTACACTGCTGCAGCCAACTCGGAAAAAGAAAAAAAACTCATCACACATGGGGAATAATTCAAGGACTACTATATGTAGATATCAAAATAATACTATATACACTGTGGACTGGTGTTCTGATACAACTGAAAAGTCATCTGTTGTATTTTGGTTAATTTTTTTACTAAATGTACTTTATAAAATTCCTAATGTTTGAAAAACCCGTATCTGGGACATGATTTGAAAAGCTTCTATAAACCCAGATAGATAAATTAATGGTTAAATACCATTTTTGTGAATGATAATCAATGATTTAAAGTTTTAGCCTTATAATATAGTGTCCATTCATATAAAATAATTGGGGCAGAACATGACTACTGGTATATATAATACTCAGCTTAACATAGTACATTGTAGTAAATAAATCTGATTGACCAACTATCAATATATCTCAGTTTAGGTCAAATACAATGGGACTAAGTCAGCTAAGGTAATCCATGGATTTCATTCATTACTGATGAGAACAAATTTTATTGAAAGTTATAATATGAATAAAAGGAGATGAGAATTATAAATCGATACATTCTTACTGCACATAAAGTCCATTAGACATCAAGACTTCAATAATCAATAGACAGGTGTCTATACAATATGGCTAGCCATAAATTATCATAAGCCTACAAAAGGAGTAAGTTCAGGAAGGGTTAAAATTGGCCCTAAGAATTTGATGTTTTTTTAATTAGGCCAAAATACTACAAATTTCACATGAAAATACACATGTGATAAAACTATTTAAACAAAATAATTTCTTTTTGTCACATCACATTAAAAATTATTCCTCAAGTATGCATTATCTGTATTGTAATGTCAGTTTTGGTCAAATTTTGAATAATTCTTAACAAGATATGCCATCGATACCAAAATCACTAAAGAACAAAAAACACTACTTGGGACAAACTTTTGGTCAAATAGTGTTCATGTGTTTAGGTCTTACACATCCTTGACCTTTCAAGAGTTTGAGCGATCCTGATGAAGGTTAATATAGAAAATCGCTTCGGATACAAGACATAAATAAAGTGTTATTTTCATGAACAAGTATTTTAAATAAACTAGATTTTTTACCACAAATATATTTCCATTTTAAAAAGAAACACAACAAAAAGTTCTTCATTTAAAATGACCAAAGTTTTTTGTTGTTAAATGCAGGTGATAATCAGATGATGTTTAAATCTTTAAAAGTAATCAAATTTACTGACAACTCCTGCATCATCAAGAACAATTGAACAGTCATCCTTGAATATAAGAGTACCAATATACTCAACTTCATGGATTGGCTTCATCTTACTCTAAGAGTACCAATTAACTCAATGTCAGGGATCGTCATTATCTTACTCTAAGATAGTTGTTTGGTTCACTTGTAATCAGTAACTGCTTAGATGAAGAACAGCTATAAACTTCAATTGAAAAACTGTTACTTTTCAGATTGTTTCATGAGCATGATACCACTTCATATTTCATTTTCTTAAATTTGTAAATAACCATTCAAATATATAAGTGGGACATATGATAAAACATACCTTTTTCATACTGTGGTTCCTTAGAAACTGTGTCTGGTTTGTCCATTACTTAAATTAGAAATTTTATTGAATTGATATTTTGAAATGATCAGAGCTTATGAAAATAAAAAAAAACATAAAAATAAAACAATTTAAGGTACATCTTCAGATATGAAATGTAATTGTGTAAGAATCAAACCGAAAGAGAAAATTTATAACTAATTTGCCCAAGTATTGCAATGAAAATTATCAAATATTATCCCCTGCATTCGTTTCATTCACATGGACAAATAGAGAAAGTTGAGGAATCCTACTTAAATTTGAACATCAAAATGTTTACAAAATTATGTTCTGTTTATTTTGTATAACTGTTTGTCTGGTGATTATTAAAGTTGGTCAACAAAAGGCATCTAAAAACTAGGAACAGTCTTCTTTTGATGAATTTCTGGATAATACAGCGTTAATTATGGCCTCTTTGTAACAATTAATGCAGTGTGGTAAAAACAGCTATTACTATCAAGCTACAGTAATAAAAGCAGATCATTGAATAAAGATATTATAAATCATGTAATATTTCAATTCCTTATAGATAAACTCATCATAAATACCAGACTTCAAATTTTGTACACCAGAAGCATGCTTTGTCCACAAAAGACTCATCTGTGACGCTTGAATCTAAAACGTTTTAAAGGCCAAATAAAGTACAAAGTTGCAGTGCATTGAGGACCAAAAATCTATGAACTATAGATGTAATTTTCAAAAAGGTGAACTGTGAGCTGAGGCTTACTATTGAGATCCCTGCTTTAAGTATGCAATAAACCGGAAATTGATGAGTTATGGATGTGCTATAACCTACCATCAAGATATACATGGAGGAATAAATCCAACCTAATTTCAACATGAAAACTTATTAAAGAACCTTTGTGAGCACACTCACATACCCCACACCCCCACAATGTCACTGGGCAAACAAAATCTCACTAGATTCCTTAGTTCATAGACTCATAACTCCTACAAAAGTCAACTGATAATAATTATTTGTGGATATGAACATCTATATATTATGCCCTTATCATCAAGGAAGATTCAGGAAATTATGTTGTGTGGTTTCAGAGGAGTTGCAATAACAAACTGTTGCAGTAGTATGTTAAGGCAAAAATTCTAAGTTCAAAGGGGCAAAACTCCTAGAAAAAAAAGAATCATAATTTCCTGTCAATAGGCACATCTTCAAAGTTTACCCTTATTATCTAAAAGGTTTCATGAAATTCTGTTGTGTGGTTTCATAGGAGTTGCGATGACAAGAACAGGACTGACAGACTTTGGATGGGTCAAAAAAATTATACCCTACGGAACTTTATTCAACGGGGTATAATTATGCCTATTACTTACTCCCAAAACATATAACCAGGAATATTGCCAGACCTATCATTAATAGGAGAACTATAATAACGATTGCTATTACTTACTCCCAAAATATACACCAAGGAATATTGCCAGACCTATCATTAACAGGAGAACTATAATAATGATTGCTATTACTTACTACCAAAATATACACCAAGGAATATTGCCAGACCTATCACTAACAGGAGAACTATAATAATGATTGATATTACTTACTCCCAAAATATACACCAAGGAATATTGCCTGACTAATCATTAACAAGAGAACTATAATAATGATTGCTATTACTTACCTCCAAAATATACACCAAGGAATATTGCCTGACTAATCATTAACAAGAGAACTATAATAATGATTGCTATTACTTACCTCCAAAATATACACCAAGGAATACTGCCAGACCTATCATTAACAGGAGAACTATTATAATGATTGATATTACTTACTCCCAAAATATACACCAAGGAATATTGCCAGATCAATCATTAACAAGAGAACTATAATAATGATTGCCATTACTTACCTCCAAAATATACACCAAGGAATACTGCCAGACCTATCATTAACAGGAGAACTATAATGATGATTGATATTACTTACTCCCAAAATATACACCAAGGAATACTGCCAGACCTATCATTAACAGGAGAACTATAATAATGATTGATATTACTTACTGCAAAAATATACACCAAGGAATATTGCCAGACCTATCATTAACAGGAGAACTATAATGATGATTGATATTACTTACTCCCAAAATATACACCAAGGAATACTGCCAGACCAATGACTAACAAGAGAACTATAATAATGATTGCTATCAAGCATCTGCTCTTCTTTTTTCTGTAAGTATCTAAAATGATAAAAGAAATGCTTTCTATCAATAATTCAAAATGCTCACATTTGCAACTTTTTTCTTATATTTTGTAACCCCTTTGACTCTTTCCTAAAAAAAACAGACCTGGGATCTCAGTCATAAATCTACACTTAGTACTCAGAGTACAAAATTTGCTTTAAAACACCAAATTTAGTATTTTGATTTGTTGAATTCAGAGTTTGAGTAGGCCTGGGGTCAATTATATGACAATTTAAAGTAATTAATTACATTTCAATTTCATTGACATATAAATGTAATTCATTACTTTACAATTAAACTGATATTTAAATTTAATTAATAACATTACCATTACATTGTCAATGAAATTAATTACATTACAATTACAATGTCAATGAAATTAATTACATTACAATTGCATTGTCAATGAAATTAATTACATTACAATTACATTGTCAATGAAATTAATTACAGTTACAGTTGTACTTAAAACTTTATCATATAACATAAATGTGAACCAGCTAGTATGATGCCTTTTTAAAATCAAATTTAGCATTGAGGAATTTGTAGAAGCATTGTTTTGAGTTCTGAAAAATGAATAATATTGGAATATCCCATGTAGTCTTTCTTGATAAGTAACATTACTGTAGCATTGATTATTATCCTTTTTCTTAGAATGTTCTTTTAAAATCAAAAATCTTTTTTTTTTTGGCTTTGATTTAAAAACTATGTTATGGAAAGTCCTCTATTGCCTGATAGTCATCATAGCTAATGTCAATGGTAATTGTATGATAAAGTGAGTAGACAGATCTTACAGCAATTGTTGTCTGCATCCTGAATGCACTTTATGAATGGAATAATTGTAGTACTTTTGAAGTAAAAATTTTACCACTGTTGTCTGCTTGGAAAAATTAAATAACCTTTGTGATCACGCTCACATACCCCACGCCCCCACATTGTCACTGGAGAAACAAAATCTTACCAGATTCGTAAGTTCATAACTCTACTAAGAGTTCAAAGAGGCATAACTCCTAGAAAAACAAGAGTGCACACGCTGAAATGCCTCGCCTTCTTTACTAATCACTGATATTATGTTGATAGTCCTAAATATAAAGCTTTATTACAACTGTCACATAAACTTAACATTAACCAAGAAAACTAAACATTGACCAATGAACCATGAAAATGAGGTCAAGGTCAGATGAACCATACCAGGCAGGCATGTACAGCTAACAATTCTTCCATACAACAAATATAGTTGACCTATTGCTTATAGTTTAAGAAAAACAGACCAAAACACAAAAATTTAACACTGAGCAATGAACTGTGAAAATGAGGTCAAGGTCAAATAAAACCTGCGCGACTGACAAATAGATCATAAAATATTTCCATACACCAAATATAGTTGACCTATTGCATATAGTATTAGAAAAAAAGACCAAAACTCAAAATCTTAACTTTTGACCACTGAACCATGAAAATGAGGTCAAGGTCAAATGACACCTGCCAGCTAGACATGTTCACCTTACAATCATTCCATACACCAAATATAGTAGACCTATTGCATACAGTATAAGAAAAACAGACCAAAACACAAAAACTTAACTATAACCACTGAACCATGAAAATGAGGTCAAGGTCAGATGACACCTGCCATTTGGACATGTACACCTTACAGTCCTTCCATACACGGAATATACTTGACCTATTACTTATAGTATCTGAGATATGGACTTGACCACCAAAACTTAAACTTGTTCACTGATCCATGAAATGAGGTCCAGGTCAAGTGAAAACTGTCTGACAGGCATGAGGAACTTGCAAGGTACGCACATACCAAATATAGTTATCTTACTACTTATAATAAGAGAGAATTTAACATTACAAAAAATAATAACTTTTTTTTCAAGTAGTCACTGAACCAAGAAAATGAGTTCAAGGACATTGGACATGTGACTGACGGAAACTTCGTAACATGAGGCATCCATATACAAAGTATGAAGCATCCAGGTCTTCCATCTTCTAAAATATAAAGATTTTAAGAAGTTAGCTAACACCACTGCTGCCGTAGCCACCTACCCCGCCGGATCACTATCCCTATGTCGAGCTTTCTGCGACAAAAGTTGCAGGCTCCACAAAAATTGAATCATAATTTCCTGTCGATATGCACATCTACATAGTATGTCCTTATTATTTACAAAGTTTCATGAAATTCTGTTGTGTGGTTTCAGAAGAGTTGCGATGACAAAGTATATTTTGGCCAAAATTCTAAGTTATAGGGCATAACTCCTAGAAAAAAAACTGAATCATAATTTCCTGTCGATATGCACATCTACATAGTATGTCCTTATTATCTACAAAGTTTCATGAAATTCTGTTTTGTGGTTTCAGAGGAATTGCAATGACAAAGTATATTTTGGCCAAAATTCTAAGTTAAAGGGGCATAACACCTAGAAAAATAATTGAATTGAAAAATCCTGTCAATATGCACATCTACATAGCATGTACTAATTATCTACAAAGTTTCATGAAATTCTGTTGTACAGTTTCAGAGGAGTTGCGATGACAAGAACAGGACTGACAGACGGTACGACAGACGGATGGACGGACAGACGGACGGACGAACAGACGGGTGAAAAACATTATACCCTACGCAACTTTGTAATATCATGTTGTATGAATATATTAAGGAGATGAAAGCTAATATTTTCATAGTGGTTAGATTAATTTGACATTCTAGATAATAATATAAGAATGCTGTGTTTATCATTGACTATGCAAAATAATAGCCTCTGTAAAGACATTGAAAGACATAATATGTTGTGCATATTCAGATCATGCGTTATGTTCTCAACCTTGGCTACTCTTTTTGCATAGTCGGTGCTCAGTATAATATTATTCAATAGTTAAAGGAGAGACTGAATGTATTCATTAATTATTTGCGAAAAGTCATTTTAGTCATTTGTTATAATCTTTAAATCAATTATATCATGGCCATGACATTTTACATTTCTGTAAGGTTACACTACAGTATTTAAAGTGAAATTTTTAAAAATGAGACACAACAACTTTTATATGAATTACACAATGACTGAAAGATAATTTGTATTAATGATATTCATGAAATATTTTCATTTTGGTTTTATGAAAACCTAATATTTTTATGAACAAGGTTAAATTTTATCAAGCTTATTTAAGAATTTTTTATGAGATAACCTTATAAATAAAATCGGTACATAGTCCCAATATATGTATAGAACTTAATAAACAAAGTACTCTCCATGCATGACAAACTTTGTCACTAGTAAAAGTTTTAAACCCAGTGTGTCATTGACAACTAAGAATGCACATACCAGTATGTACTATGCAAATGTACAGAATTAAATAAGGTTTAGAAACACATAATTTAAAAAAAAAAACTCCTGAAAGGAAAATAAACAGCCTACCTACCAAATTTGATTTGATGTGGCAAGTTATCACATTCTTTGGATTTATAATCTACATATCTATTGGGCAATCTGTCACTACTTTTGCTATGTTCACTACTTGTCTTTTGTGCCAATTCTTGTAAATTTGCAGTACTATCTTTATAGTCTTGAAAATGATAATACATTGTTTTCCTATTTTCACTGGCAGCAGAGCTTTTTGTTTCTCTGATCTGTGGCACATCCTCATTAACACAGACATCTATACTATCAGTACTAATATAAGCATGATTTATGTATGCTGCACCATGAGTTTCTGCATGAGGCACATTATTGTCAACAAATGACACTCCATTCTGCCCTACAGTACCAGTGTTAATCACATTTTCATATTCATTGACTTTGCCACTCTCAAGGTCACCTATTTCCATCATTTTATGCAGTATCCGTTAAAATAAACATGCTTTTTATATCCCTATTTAAACATTAACTTAATATTCCAATCCTAAATTTGCTCCAATTGGGGATCTACCTCCAAATAATAGATTTCAGTTTTATATCCACACACCAAAGTTTAAACACAATAAACAAGTTATTTAGCAGTATTTTTTATCAAATTAGGTATGGCTGTTTTGCATGGATGGAGCAATGTCAGTACACATTGTAATTATAGATACATTTGAACTTCATGAACCATGACATAAGTTTTTCTTTAAAGTCCTATGAATATTTAATAAGATCAATGTAAAAATGCAGAATGAAATATTTATTTTATGGCATACAGTATAACTATTTTCACAAACATAATTATTTACGGCATACATTGTATGTGCACGAAGACTGATTCTCATAAAGAATATCTAGTATTAACTTTTACAGGTTTCTTGCTTTGGATATGTTCCCTTTCAAAATTTTGATCTCAAGACCCAAAGAGAATAAAATGGAATATTGTAATAAAAAAAAATCAGAAGTCATTTAAATGGTCCTGCAGAAAAATATCCAAGAACACACATATTTAGGTGTATACAAAATTGCCTTAAATTTGATTGTTAGAATCCTGCAACTCTGGAAACCAAGTACCTACAAAATTTCAGAATCTGAAGAGCCTAAGATACTCCAATCTCAACAACAGTGTCAAGTTTCAAGTAAATGGACCAAAGCATACTCAATCAGTGTGCTGCTGCATGTAAAACAAATGCCTAATATCTGATGATGACTCTTATCACTGGATTTTAACTTCCCATGAGCGTCACAACAGTTGACACCAATACAGCAAGAACTACAATGCTTTCTGAGTACCTGATTTCACCCCAGGTTTTTGGTGATTTTCTTGTTATCTTAAAGTCTTTTGTTAACTGTTAAATTGTTTGACTTTCACCTCATTCATGCCAATGTGTTGTTTATCTTTCTTTCATATTATGTTTTGGACTGTTCCCTTGGTACATGTATCATCAAACTTGTATTAACAGTAGAGTACAGCAGCATCATAATCAATCAACTAGGCCACCCTTAAAAAATTCTTTGTTTGATGTTGCCTACCCATGCCTTGTAGGGTTGGGTAGGTATGGAGAGATTTTTTTTTGTTGTTGGCGAACAACATAAGTTACATGTTTTAGACAAGAAAACGACATTAGAGCAGGAAAAAATATTTTTTTTAAAAGTTTGAAAAAAATTATGTCAGCTTTTTAGGTATGTAGGTAGGCAACATCAAACAATTTAAATTTGGACCTATAACTTTTTAATTCAAAATGAAATGTTACAATATAAATCAGTGCACCTGATCATTAAAAATAAATAGCTGTGTAAAATACACCCCAAATGTACCTTCTTTACAGTGTATGGATATGTATATTTAACTTAATACATGTAATAGATATATTTTCACCTATTTAGTCACCAAAGGTTAAATTTTTAGGTGATACTGTTGCTTGCTCCTTCTGATACTAATTTATTTTCCTCAACCAAAACATGCAATCACCAGTTTATCATGATATATAGCTTTACCAGTTTTATGTAACCTATTTTATTTTGGTACTAAACAAGAAATTCAACCTTGACCACAATATAAAGCTGAGATTCAAACAAAATACAGTATTCATATGAATTTTATTTTTTCTTGTCCCAATCCCTAGACAATTTGGGTTCTTATTTGCAATAACAATTTACATTTTTATATCTATCCTGCCTTCATCATCTGCTTTAATCATATATGGTGCATTAAATCTTTTTATATCAAACATACTTAATAGATACCTATCATTACAAAGACAAAACATATACAATGGTTGAAAAAGGAGAGATTCTTGTTTACAAATCTGATCTAAATAAATTAAATATCCTTCATCTCTTTTTTATTGTTCATTTCTGAATGAATTAAATACAATTAGCATCCCAATAATTAATTGCCTTAGACAAAATATCCTGTTCACAGCAAGAGAAGACCAAACAGACAAAATATCCTGTTCACAGCAAGAGAAGATTAAACAAGACAAAATATCCTGTTCACAGCAAGAGAAGACCAAAGAGACAAAATATCCTGTTCACAGCAAGAGAAGATTAAACAAGACAAAATATCCTGTTCACAGCAAGAGAAGATTAAACAAAACAAAATATCCTGTTCACAGCAAGAGAAGACCAAACAGACAAAATATCCTGTTCACAGCAAAAGTAGACCAAACACAAAATATCATGTTTACAGCATGTGAACATCAAATCGACAGAATATCTTGTTCACAGCCAGAGAAGACCAAAGAGACAAAATATCCTGTTTACAGGGAGAGAAGACCAAACAGACAAAATATCTTGTTCACAGCCAGAGAAGACCAATACAGACAAACTATCCTGTTCACAGCAAGAGAAGACCAAAAAGACAAAATATCCTATTCACAGCAAAAGAACACTAAACAGACAAAATATCCTGTTCACAGCAAGAGATGACCAAACAGACAAATTATCCTGTTCACAGCCAGAGAAGACCAAACAGACAAAATATCCTGTTCACAGCAAGAGAAGATTAAACAAAACAAAATATCCTGTTCACAGCAAGAGAAGACCAAACAGACAAAATATCCTGTTCACAGCAAAAGTAGACCAAACACAAAATATCATGTTTACAGCATGTGAACATCAAATCGACAGAATATCTTGTTCACAGCCAGAGAAGACCAAAGAGACAAAATATCCTGTTTACAGGGAGAGAAGACCAAACAGACAAAATATCTTGTTCACAGCCAGAGAAGACCAATACAGACAAACTATCCTGTTCACAGCAAGAGAAGACCAAAAAGACAAAATATCCTATTCACAGCAAAAGAACACTAAACAGACAAAATATCCTGTTCACAGCAAGAGATGACCAAACAGACAAATTATCCTGTTCACAGCCAGAGAAGACCAAACAGACAAAATATCATGTTCACATCCAGAGAAGACCAAACAGAAAAAATATCCTGTTCAAAGCTAGACCAAATGAGCAAATTGTTGCCATTTTCAGTTAAGGGTTAAAGTTAAACCAAACAGACAAAATATCCTGTTCACAGCCAGAGAAGACCAAACAGACAAAATATCCTGTTCACATCCAGAGAAGACCAAACAGAAAAAATATCCTGTTCAAAGCTAGACCAAATGAGCAAATTGTTGCCATTTTCAGTTAAGGGTTAAAGTTAAACCAAACAGACAAAACTTTCTGTGTAAATGAAGGATAGAAATAGCAAACTATCCTGCGTACAAGAGAAGACCAAATAAACAAAATGCCCTGTTCACAACAAAGGCTAGACCAAATGGATAAAATATCCTGTTTACAGGAAGGTGTATACTAAACAGACTTATTCTTTATTCCATCACATTCTTTATGTACCTGTCTCATGTGGATTAAACCTGGTTTTATAGTTAGCTTAACATCTCACTTGTAGAAGCTAGACCAAATGAGAAAAATATCCTGTTTTCAGTACAAGTCAAACCAAACAGACAAATTATCTGGTTCACATAAAAGGTTAGACCAAATGAGAAAAATATCCTGTTCATAGAAAAGACTAGCCAAAGAGCAATTTATTCTGTTTACAGAAAAGGCTAGACCAAAGAGCAATTAATATATCTAATTCACAGAAAAAGCTGGATTAAGATCAAAATATCCAGTTCACACAAAAGGCTAAACCAAATAAACTAACTACCCTGTTCACAGCAAAGATTTAACAAAAAGAACAAAACATTCTGTTATCAGACCAAATAAACAAAATATCCTGATCACTGAAAAGACTAACCCATAAGAGCAAAGTATCCTTTTTTGCTAAAAAAAAAACCTAATAGACCTGATGTACTAGAAAACATTTTCACAGATTACGATTTTTGATTAACATTGCCTGTGTTCAGATGATTGTGGATAAGTATTATAAGTAAAATCCTCCTAAATTCTGATGCATTTGCAAATGGATTATGTACACAATGGACAAACTGTTAACACAGAGAAATGTATTGTCTTTGAGACCAATCACAACATTTAACAATGGTTGATGCATTGACATCACAGACAACATGTTTAAGTCTTGCTTCTGCAGATTTTGTTCCATGTTGGGAAAAAGTTATTGAAAAGTTGTCAGTTTGCAATTTAATCTACACTTACAAAAACAACAAAATCAAAATAAACTGAACATATATAATAAATAATATATTTTAAACAAAAATTGAAAAAAAATTTAACCAAACATGCATTGAAAGAAAACTATGAAATCTGAGTGTTAACACAGTAAATAGTATTTCAAATATGTTAGGAAGAACTGATTTATAGTTAACTCTAAATAATGTGTAATTTGTGGTTCCCTTAATCATATGGGACAAAATTTTACCCCGTATTTTTTTCACAATATTGATTTAAAAATTATGCTATTTTATTTTTGTTTTGAAATTTATAGTCATGAAACTGTTATTTAACCATATAAAGTTACAATGTACTCAGTTTTTGTCCTTTGATGCAATGAAAAGTTTCATTTTAACTTACCTGGTTTAAATACTAATAAATAAGAAATTAATACAATTCAAGGAATGCAGGGATCTACTTATAATTATAAAATAATTGTTTTTCAGTTTTCCCCTTCAGTCAAATGGTTCAAAGAACTTTGTAAATATAAAATTTATTGGAGTTTAAGAAACTGGATGAAAATGGACACTTTCTAAGCTTTTCTTTGTAACTCTTCTATATTGAATACAAACAATATTTAATATTTTCCAACAAATTGAGATGAGATATTTATACCTATAAGTATTTTGCATCAGTTTATCTGTACTCCTGTATGTGTAGTAAAATGGTCAATTGCAAGCTAAAAGGTTTCTTTTTTCACATGTCACACTATATTATTATCTAAGTATTGGAACAAATTGAATTAGTCTTTTTGCTAAACAAACAAATAAATATTGTATATTATCAACTCCTGATGTCTCAATATGAAATACAAGCTTCAGCAGTAACTTAACCTTCACCATTATTATCAAACTTAATTTTCAGTGATGTGGTGAATTTTTTTATCCTTACGGATGTGGAAGTGACCTAATAAATAAACTGTATTTTTGCACTAGTTTTAAAGGGGCACTAGCTACGAGATATATAAAAAATCTAAAATATGATTTTTTTTTTGTT